ATTCGTTGAGCCAGTACTGTGAGAGCAAACTGGGGTGTGGGCTCAGTTCTCGATGCTGGGGTCATAGCAGGACACAGAGCAGGCAGAGCTGGCCCCACTGGCACCCCCAGATGGGGTCAGGGGTGACCTCCCTTGGAGGTGCCCTCTGGATGGAGACTGAAGGGTCAGGAGCTGTCTGTGCAGAAGCCAAGGGGGTAGTGAGTGCAAAGGCCAGGGGCTGAGAGGAAGGTCCATTTTATGGTGAGTGGTTGACGCTTACAAGGTTTGAGATAATGCGTGGTCTGAAAGTTCTTACCAACACATTTAGCGGTAATTTTTAACTGACGTACTTTTCCTCCATGAGAATGAAGTGACTTTTCTTCCTGCTGCTCTGATGTGCACAGAATTCTGCAGTGGGTCATAAGAAACTCTTGGCAGAAAATCCCTGAAAGGCCTTGATCATAGTGTCCAGAGCAGGGGTGGAGAGGAAACTGTTTCTTTGGCTTTCTAGACCCAGTGACCTGGTACCTGGGGGTGTGCGCAGAGAGCCCGGGGAAGGCTTAGGGAGGCCTTTGCCCGCTTGAGCCCAGCAGGACCCAGGGGTCCTGGCTGTAGTTGAGGGGCTGATAATGTCAGTCAGTCCTGTGCCAGACAAGGACCTTCCCCTCCCTTCTTCTGTTACGTTGCCTGGCTTGGGCTGTGTGCCTTCTCTGTGCCAGGCGCTCTTTAGTGCTTTAATTCAGTTAATTATAGTTTCTAAGGTCAAATGCATTTTTGAAGTTAATGTTTATCTTAAAACTTTCCAGAAAGTAGAGAGAGAAACTAACAACCCAGCTATGAAGTCTGTGTTGTGGTCAGGTCACAGTAGGGCAGGAGTCGGGCCGGGCAGGGGTTGGACATGCCCGTGTACGTGTGCAAAAGTACTTGTAACAAGGGGCACACCCACACTCCCAGCCACACAGCTGAGAGCCTGTTGGGGAATCTGGCCTCTTCTCTCTGGTCTCCTTGCCTTGGAGCGTGAGGGAGAGTTCATCTGACCTTGTGTTGTCTGTATTGCATTCTCTCAAGAGACTGCCTAGAGCAGACTCAGATTTCCTGCTCCTTATGAAGCCTGAAGGGTTCATAACAGTGATGCAGAGAAAAGGTCGCCACTTTCAAGAGCCTCACACGTCCCCAAAGCTGGTTCTGTCTGTGAGGGGAGAGGTGTGGCTCTGAGGCCTGGGCGAAGCAGGATGGCTAGAGTGAGGGCCCTGGTGGCACCAGGTCTCTGTGTTACTGCTTACACGGATTGTGGTGTTTCAGGGAGGTAAAGGTTCACATCACTAATGTTTCTTTGAAAAAAAAGTTTATGCAGCCTGATGACATGTTTTAGGAGCTCCTCCTCTAGGAGTTGGTGAGATTTTCGTTTTTCTTTTCTTTAACCGTTTTTAAATTGCAGTATACTTAAAATGCTGTGTTAGTTTCAGGCGTACAGCAGAGTGATTCAGTCACACACACGTGTGTATATTCTTCTTCAGGTTCTTCCCTGTCACAGGCTATCACCAGATACTGGATGTAGCTCCTTATATCATAGCTCTCTGTTGTTTATCTGTTTTATGTACAGCCATGTGTATGTGTCAGTCTCAGAATCCTAGTTAACACCTTCCCGCTCAGCCCCTTTGGAAACCGAAAGTTTGTTTTCTGTTTCTGTGAGTCTTTCTGTTTTGTAAATAAGTTCATTTGTTTCATTATTTGTTTTTTTTTAATATTCCGACATATAAGTGATATCATAAGATACTTGTTTTTTGTCTGACTTCACTTAATATGATACTCTCTCATCCATCCATGTTGCTGCAAGAGGCATTGTTTCATTCTTTCTAATGGCTGAGTGGTATTCCATTGTGTGTGTACTGCGTCCTTATCTGCTTCTCTGTCAGTGAGCATTTAGGGTGCTCCCATGTCGCGGCTGTTGTGAATAGTGCTGCTGTGAACATTGGGGTGGATGTATCTTTTCAGAGTTTTCTCCGGATATATGCCCAGGAGTGGGATTGTTAGATCATATGATAACTCTATTTTTAGTTTATCCTCCATGGTGGCTGTACCAGTTTACATTCCTACCAACAGTGTAGGAAGGTTCCTTTTTCTCCACACCTTCTCCAGCATTTATTATCTGTAGCGTTTTTAGTCATGGCCATTCTGACTGATGTGAGGTGATACCTCATTTGGTTTGCATTTCTCTAATATATTAGCGATATTGAGCATCTTGTCATGTACCTTTAGCCATCTGTATGTCTTTGGCGAAATATTGGCAAACATTTTCTTAAAGTGCTAGGTACTAAATGTTCTAGACTTTGTGGAACAAGAAGCAAATACCTACTATTAGGTAGTTAAGTCAACCGTTTAAAAATGTGAATACCGTTCCGAGCTTGAGATTGTGGCCCACGTCCTTCTCTCTCCTGTAGCATGATATATGTGGCTGTTCCATTGCCATTAAGTGAAATCCAGGCACCGTAACCTGGCCACACACTTTGAGAAAACCAGCATTTGTGTGCTGAGGCAGTCATCCCGAGAGACGTATTGGCCTCTCAGCAGCCTCATCCCAGTGTTGCCACTGTGCGTGTCAGGGGGAGTGTCCCAGGAGGAGAGGTGACTTTTCGGAGTGGTAATCTGCTATCAGCATTTCAAACAAAACACAACAAGAAATTTAGCAACCTGATGAGAAATGGGCAAAACGCTCGAGTAGACTTCTCCTCGAAGTGAGAGCGAGAGTGAAGTCCCTCGGCCGTGTGTGGCTCTCTGCGCCGCCGTGGACTGTAGCCCCCCAGACTCCTCCCTCTGTGGGGTTTTCCAGGCAAGAGTACTCGAGTGGGTGGCCATTTCCTTCTCCAGAGGGTCTTCCCGGGCCTCCCGCATCGTAAGCAAAGAAGATAAACAGCTCCTCAGAGAAGATATACAAATGGCAAACAAGCATAGGAAAAGATACTTAGCATCGTTATAATCCACGAAAGGCAAATTGAAACCACAATGAGTTACTGCCTCACACCCATTAGGATGGCCACTGTCAAGAACAAACAAACATCACAAGTGTTGTCAGCGATATGGAAAAGTCAGGACCCTTGTGCACTTCTGGTGGGTGGGAATGTAACATAGTGTAGCTGCTGTGGAAGACAGTAGTAACTTCCTCACACAGTTAAACGGAATAGCTGTATGATCCAGCAACTCCATTTCTGGGTATATACCCCAAAGAATTGAAAACAGGGACTTGAAGAAATACTTGTACTTTATAGTAGCATCATTCACAACAACCAAAAGGTGAAAGCAACCCAAGTGTCCATTTTCAGATGAATGGATAAGCAAAATGTTGTGTCTGAACAACAGAATATTATTTAGCCTTTAAAAGTGAGGAAATTCAGACACAGTTATGACATAGATGGACGCTTAACCCCTTATGCTAAGTGAAATACGTCAGTCACAAAAGGACAAGCACTGTGTGACTCCACTTGTGTGAAGTCCCTATAGTAGTAGTTAAATTCATAGAAACAAAGTGGGATGGAGGTTGCCAGGGACTGAGGGAGGGGAAATGGACAGAGTTTCAGTCTGCGAAGATGAGAAAGGTCTGGAGGTGGATGGCGGTAGTGGTTGAACCACCATGCGGGTGTACTTAATGCCACAGAACCACTTAAAATTTTTTTAAGAGGAGATCAGAGATTCACAAAGAGGTGCTTGTGATGATGTTAATGATGTTATCTGCATGACATTAAAACTCAAAAGTTGATATTGATTTTTCGTTTTTAAAAAAAAATAATTTCCCCAAAACAAAGCATACAGTCTTCTTACATTTAACCTGGACCTTCTGAAAATGCAAGTATATTAAAGTGGTGGCAGAAACTGTGAAATGGGGTTCTGATCTGGGTGAGACCATTGCAGAGACAGGGATTCCTGTAATGGGTACTTGGCTTTCTTGACAACCCGAATACACCTTTGAAAGTTCTGGGGTGCCACCTCAGGAGGCGTGTTGTTCTTCGGCTCAGATCGCTGACGGAGCAGCGGACGGCTGGCCAGGGCCCGCCCTGCGTGGCGTGCGTGTGGGTTATGGTTTCAGTTTGCCCGCTGCACGTGGCGGGGGCTCTGTGAGGGAGCCAGGCCAGTGTCTGGCCCGTGTCAGGCTCAGAGAAGCCTGGGGCTCCTGTCACTCCCTGTCCTTCATCGCAGGCCGCTCCTACTGGTTGACCCAGCTTCCCGTGCGCTGTGGCCCCTGGGGGTGATGATGGGGACACTTGGCTGCCATCTGAGGGGCAGTTCCTGGAGGGCAGCTTCTAGGAGCATCTCTCCCCCTTGGATGAGCTGTCTGTGTACCTGTGAACGGATGTGTGAGCTCAGCAGAAGTGCCTGTGAGGTCCACTGCTTAGGTACTTAAAGTTGCCTGTTTGTATGTTTTTGCTGTTGGAACATGTAAAAGGTAGTATATTAAGTACAATTGTATCCTGAAACTAGAAGATTGTCTTAACATTCAGTTTCTAATTCCTGCTTAAGGGCTGCCTTCCGGAGGGGGAGCTGACAGTGAAGAACATCTGTGGACTAGCAAGAGAACCACACTCCTGCGTCTGCAGGAGTCACAGCCTCCTCTGGTGCTAGGCAGAGGAGTGGGGCGGGGCAGGCCCTCGCCATGGTGAGGTGCTGCCCTCAGTTGTGGTTATTCACCTGTCCCTGGGGACCACACTGGGCTTGTGAGAGGCCATCTTGCTCCGTGTGGCCCCCGCATCCTGGTGGCTGTGGCTCTGTGGCTCGCTGGGGACTGGCTAGGCTGTGCGTGTGGCAGGGCGGGCGGCCTCGGCCGCACGCGCCCTGTTTCTGCCCAGGTCGGTTTGATGGGGAGGAGAGTGCGGAAAGTCAGATCAGCAGAAGCTGGACTGTCGCGGTGGAGAGCAGGCCAGTGCTTCACGGGAAGGTTGCCACGGCTGCTCACGTGGGGAGAAGCCAGGTGCCTGGGCTGAGGCCCAGAAGCTGCCGCCTTTCATGATGATGCTGCCCTTGTGCCATAGGTCAGTGGGCCTGAGGGCATCCTGCAGAATGGGGCCGTGGATGACAGCGTGGCCAAGACCAGCCAGTTGTTGGCCGAGTTGAACTTTGAAGAAGATGAAGAAGATACCTATTACACAAAGGATCTCCCTGTACATGCCTGCAGGTGAGTGCTTCAGCAGAGGGGAGGGCCCGCCTCCCAGAGCATCCACCATCCACATGCATGCTCTGACTTTACAGAGGCCCATCTGAGACCATGGACTGTGGCACTTGGAAACACTGTCCTTGGCAATAAGGTTGCTCAAGCCCTTGTACGCACATAAATCCCTCATCCTGGGCAGGAGAGTGGGATCAGCACCCTCTGTCATCCCTGATTCTCCCAGCTGGAGGGAGAAAGAGTCCCCTTCTCTGCCTTCCTCAGGCTTTAAGGTTGTTCCCCGGAACCTGCCCCCTCACTCATCTGAAAGAACTCAGCACATCGGGTGAGCATCTGAGTCCAGAGGGTAAAGAGAGCAGCTGACGTTTCGCTTACAACGAGGTTCCTATAGGCTTCTTTAAAATAGCTGCCTTGGGGACTTGCATGGCGGTCCATGCTGCCAGTGCAGGGGGCGTGGGTTCCATCTCTGGTCGGGGAACTAAGATCCCACATGCCGTGTTGAGCAGCAGAAAAAATAATAATAATGGAAAGACCTGCGTGTTGACCAAATTTGGAATTCTGGTCTAGAGGAGGACCCATCCCTTGTGTTTGGACTTACTCTTGCTTTTTTGTTACACACACACAAGGAAATTGAGACCAAAAGAGGTGTAATGATCTTGCTCAGGGCACTCGGCCAGCCAGGGCCCTGGGCCTCTCAGCCCTGCCCACCCTCAGGCATGCTGCCCCTCCACGGTCTGCACCCACGATGGTGCAGAGGGCTGCACCTTCCCTGCTTGATGGGCAGACTGTCTGACCTTGTTGGTTCTGTGTTCCCTCGCATTCACAGTACATTTTTACATCTGTACTAGTGTTCCTGTTCTCAACAGGCCCATGAAGTGGTCCTGGTGAAGCTGCAGTGGTTAAAGTCTGCACACCCCCTCGCACTCCTGCCGTCCATGTGGAGTGGAGGAGGGAGAGCTGTCCTGGCATGAGGTGCCGCCGGGAAGGTTCTTGGCCAGAGCACATTCTGGTTTGAGACGAAGTCTTGGCTTCATGCACATACAGAACTCTGTGCAGAGCCAGAGGCAGTGCTTTTGTTTTTGGCGTATTGATTTTCAGAAAAGGGAGTGCGGGGGCTCTCCCGAGGCGCTCCTTGCGGGACCCTCCACTGCTGGGGTGAGCTGAGTGTTCCCAGGAGCATGGCGCCCTCTGCCGGAGCGTCTGCAGCTCTGAATGCGGCGTGGTCTCGGCTCACCTTCTGTGTGCCCAAAGCCAGGGATGTTGACCTCCTTGCTCACGAGTCACAGTTCCTGAAACTTGAGACCAAGGGAGATGACCCCGCCACCTTGGGGGCGTTAGGTCTGCGTTACTGGGCTCACCTGGCACCTTGCACTGCTCTCCTCCCCACTCCCCCAGCCCTGCCTGCAAGGGTCTTTGCTGCCATCTGAGGAGTCTCCACCGCACCCTGACCCCTTCCCTGTGTTCACAGGGTCAGGAAGCCTCTGCAGTTAACTGATTGGATTTTGTTAGTGGGATCGTTGGGTTTGAGTATGTGTTTAATGAAAAACTTAAAAATGTTGTAAGAGGAAAGAATTTTACATCCTGCCAAATTAAAACCAGAGAGCAATCTTCCAACTTTAACTGTTGATATTTTGACTTTTTTAGTTACTGTGGAATACACGATCCTGCTTGCGTGGTTTACTGTAACACCAGCAAGAAGTGGTTCTGTAATGGACGTGGAAATACTTCTGGCAGGTAGATAATCAAACCGCGCATGTGTCTTTAATCAGTACTGTGCTCAGATTTGTGTGTAAATTATGGAAATGTTGAAGCAAAGCACAATATAAAATCACGCTAACAAACCTGGTTTTTTCCCCTCCTCTGTGACTGGTTTAACTTGAAACAGATGGTGGTGTGTGAATGCCTTAATGTATTTACCCTTGATTTATTCTCTGCGGTTCTTTTTATTATGCAAGTAGGGTTGGTTTAATTCTCATTCCCAGTTTTTATTTATATTTTTCTGCAAGATGAGCTCCTGGCACGCCCGTTCATCTACATTACTGGGTGCCTGGGGAGGATGTTCCCAAGACAGTCATGGGCATCCATGGGAGCCGCTTCCTGAGAAGGCTCTCCCTCTGGCCTTAGCTCATCGGAGCAGTCCTGAGGCTAATATGGGCCAGATCCTGAATCATCAGATTAGATTAAGTTCACTTGACCGTCAACTGTGGGCTTCCCTTCCTGCTGTTGATCAGCAGCAGCTGTGACAAGGTCCCTTTTTTTGGGTTTGGGTGAGACCCGCATGATGCGGGTACTCAGATTCCAGGGGAGAGTCTGTTTGTCTAAGCTCAAGTGGTGAGATTCCTCAGCCCCCACCACTGGCACAGGTCTGGTCCTGTTGGCTTCTCGGAGGCTGCCGTGAGGTGAGGACTCAGGCCATTGCCAGAGAGAAGCAGAGCAGAGTCTCTGTGGGACAGGGCTCCAGGTCACCAGCACGGAAGCAGCATCTTCCTCTGAGACTCCTGTTTTATAGAAACAAGGTGACCAAATTCCATAGGCAGTTTTTTTCGTACAGAGCCCCTACCCTTCCTATGTCTTCGGCAGCCGTGGACCCAGGCCAGGCTCATGATCTCGTGCAGGACACAGAATGGACAGATCTCATGTCACCTTGGAGTTAGTAATGCAGATTATGGGCTTCTGAGTGAGGCAGGAGAGGGAGCTGAGGTTTCTTTAGAGATATGAAAGGAGAAGCATCTTTAGGGTACCCAGAAGAGATTGGTATCCCACTTTCCAAATGTTCTGGGTAATTTAAGCGTTCCTGTGTTTGCATTAGTTCCTCTGCTGCAGGAAAAGCAATTAAATAAAACTTGCCTTAGTTGGCAACCCTATCTTCAGGTCAGCAGAGCCCAGATCAGGGAAGTGAGCAGAGAACCTCTAAGAGAAAACAGATTTGGTCAGCCAGCACTGTGTGTTCTGTGCAAGGTCAAATTGTGAAGGTGATGGGGCAGCCACCCGCTTTCAGGAAGCTTCCAATGTGATGGAGTGTTCTGGGCCTAGAAAAGACAGGCGGAAATCACTGAATCTGGTAGAATACCCAGCGGTGGCAACTCCAGGAGGGGAAGAGAGGGGTGGGGGCTTTGGAGGTACAGAGAGCTGTGGTGATTAGCTAGGTAATCTGACAGTCTTTGTGGGGCCAGAGAGGATCAGGATGTTGGCCTCTGAGCCACAGCTTGCACAGGAGGGGTCTCCCAGGGATGCGAGGGGAGCAGCAGGGGAGGCTGGAGGCCCAGCAGGCATGCTCAGCGTGTGACAAACCCCAGCAGGGCTGGGAGAGCCTGGGGCGGAGCCAGGTCCTACCTGGGCCCCAGGTGAGGCTGGCGTTGGGGAGGGTGAGTTCAGCCCTGGTTTAGGTGAGCCGTGTCCCGGAAATGAGAAGGGCGTCAGAGTTCTGGCCACGCACAACAAGGAAAGAGCTGGGACAGCGGGGCTTCCAGGCAGCTCAGAGCTGGCCCTGCGCTTCCCGAGAGTAGCCTTGACCTCCCTCTACTCTGTATTTGTTTGCCGTCCTCAGGTTTCTAGTACATTTGGTTATCAGGTTTCCTGGCCTGCAGCAAATGAGAAAGGGTGTTGCTCCTGGAAGCAGGCACGGGGGCCAGGAGAAGTGACTTTGAAAGGAGCAGCGGAGAAACTACATTGAGTGAATAGGAGCAGTGAAGGGGCGAGCCTTCCTCTCCAAGACAGCAGCCTTGGCAGCCGCGTTAGATTCAGTCAGCCCCAATAAGCTGGATTTAAGAAAGCAGGAATGGGGTAAGAGGGAACTGTGTGAAACATGTTAGGGAAGTTTTCCTTAGAAATGGTTCAAGTCGGAGCGCTCAGTGGGAGCCAGTTCAGGGGCAGGCTGGTCCCTCTGGATGCCAGATGGATGAGGTGTGACCACTCCTGCTAATGGACCGTGAACGGTACCGGAACTTTTAATGGAGCTCGAAAATTGGAAGTGGTGAAAAGCCAAACTTTGGGTGTTAACTATTTATCATTTCCTGGTTTCAGCCACATTGTAAATCACCTTGTGAGGGCAAAATGCAAAGAGGTGACTCTGCACAAGGATGGGCCCCTAGGGGAGACGGTCCTGGAGTGTTACAACTGCGGCTGCCGCAACGTCTTCCTCCTCGGCTTCATCCCTGCCAAGGCCGACTCGGTTGTGGTGCTGCTGTGCCGGTGAGGGCAAGGCCCCAGTTCCCTTGTTTGGCAGGGGGGTTGCCTTTCAGGCAAAGACTCAGTCTCCATGGCTTCAACTTTCTGGAGCTTTAAAATAGTTTTAAGTGGTTTCCGCCAACTGGCGAGGTGTAAGGAGGTTTGGAGGGTTGGGGCTTGTTACAGAGCTAGGAATGTCATAGGACCCTTTTGGGGTGTCTTCTGGTTAAATCATAAAATTCTGTAAAAGCCAAGTCTGTTCTGAGTTTTAAGAGTTCCAAAAAAAAAAAAGAGTTCAGAGCTCAAGTGCATGGGGAGATGCAATTTATTGCTAACAATTTGAAGGTACTCTGACCATACAGTAAAATGTAGGGAGCACCACTCTGAGGTGAGAGGTAATAAGCCTCTGGGGCGGCGGGGCAGAGGTCATCCTCATCTGGGCTCTCCCTGCCCTCGGGGCTTCTGCAGGCAGCCCTGTGCCAGTCAGAGCAGCCTCAAGGACATCAACTGGGACAGCTCCCAGTGGCAGCCCCTGATCCAGGACCGGTGCTTCCTGTCCTGGCTGGTCAAGATCCCTTCTGAGCAGGAGCAGCTGCGGGCGCGGCAGATCACTGCCCAGCAGATCAACAAGCTGGAGGAGCTCTGGAAGGTGAGGGCCTGCCGGCAGTGCACATGCCCCTCCGTCCCGAGCATGGGGGGGCCGGGGCCCTCAGAAGCGGGAGGGAGGGCGCCGGGATGCCTGCTGCCCAGCCTCTGCAAAAGGAAAACTCTGGCCAAGGGAGTTTCTCTCTTGTTGAGGGCAAGGCTGGCTGGTGGGAAGGAGGAAGATGGGAACTGGCTGTCAGCGACTGCTGGTGGACATGTCCGGAGGAGCCGGGCCTGAGGGGCAGTCACGACTGCCGTATACTGTGTAAAACCCGGCTGGGCTTGAGGCATGTGACGTGTTGGAGCCAGAGTGACACCAGGTTAGGGGCTAGCGAGATTCCTGCCCTGCCCACAGGCCGCTTCTCCATGGGAGCCCTTCTCTGGTTCCGGACACACGCGCACACACACAACACACACACGCCCACAGGCCGCTTCTCCAAGGAAACCCTTCTCTGGTTCTGGACGCTTACACACACATGCCCACACACAGACATGCCCACACACACGCCTACACACACACACAACGCACACGCCCACAGGCCGCTTCTCCAAGGAAACCCTTCTCTGGTTCTGGACGCTTGCACGCGTGCGCGCGTACACACACACACTTTTTTTTGGTGCAGGATGTGGGATCTTGGTTCCCTGATCAGGGATTGAACCTGCAACCCCTGTAATGGAAGCTCAGCATCTTAACTAATGAATAGCTGAGAACTCCGAATTGCTGTTTTAATTAATTAGGCTAGAAATTTTTAATTAGGCTAGGCACCCATATAATTTAAAAAATGTGAATTTATCTTCTCTTCAGCTGCCGGGCAAAATATTTTTGAAGCATTGGCTAGCAAGGAGCCTTTCCACCTTGATTTTCAGGTTGCTGCAGTTATCTCACTGTTCTTGTTTATATCCAAACAGCCCACTTACTGCCAGAGAGAGTGGGTTTCTCCTTTTGGTGCAGTGTAGTAGGATCAGGAGGAAATTGGGAGATGGGCCTGCCTTTGTTTTCACACAGTCAGGGAATGCAGTGCTCTTTGTGGCCGCTGGGAGGAACACGCTCTCACATGTCAGGGGCTCCGTGTTTGTTGAAGAAGGTGGCCCTGGTGGGATGAGTGTGTCAGGCTGTGTGCCTGGGGAGTGTACCCCTGTGTGCCATGTGGGCTTCCTGGTACGGGGGCTCGGCCGCTGGTTTCTCTGCTCGTCCTGAGAAGTGATGGTGGGTGTGTGCTGAGCCTCTGGAGACTGGGGAGCGCGCAGACAGTGCGTTTTAAGTAGAGGTGGGAATGGGGAAGAACGTGGTCCCGGCCCTTGCCTCTAGGAGAACCCGTCTGCCACCTTGGAGGACTTGGAGAAGCCTGGAGTGGACGAGGAGCCGCAGCACGTCCTCCTGCGGTACGAGGACGCCTATCAGTACCAGAACATATTCGGGCCTCTGGTCAAGCTGGAGGCTGACTACGACAAGAAGCTGAAAGAGTCACAGGTGATGTGTGTGTGTGCAGGAGGGCTTGTTCATTTTAACAGAGCCTCTCTCCTCAGGTCTGGGGAGGGTGGGTCTCTCTGCAGACCGCAGATGCTGACTTGGGCCACGTGCAGCTCCTGAGAGACGGAGCCATGGATTAAGGACAGGCTGTGGGCAGAGGCCCCCTCACTCAACGGCCAGACATCCACATGGGTGCTGTCTGACTTAAAATCCAACAAACATTCCTTCCAGTTGGGTTTGTAGCCTTTGCCGCAGCGGGGAGAGTCAGACCCCAGGAGCCAACAGCACCCTGAGGACACCCCTGTGCCCATTCCTCGGAAACTGCATGGGAATCGGGAGCCCTGAGGCTCACGGGCCGTGTCCTCAGCCGTCAGCTTCCTTCTCTCCCCCCGCCGCCCACAGATCAGCTGTCTCCAAGAACAGACGTCGTGTGGGGGGTCTTCTGGTCGTCCTCTGCAGGTTTTGGGGTCCTCACCCCTTCTCTCCCGGATGTGCCCTTGTTGGCGTTTCAGGCTGTTGGGTGCCGCTCACCGTGGGGCACCTGCCTGTGGAAAACAGACACGAGGAGCCCAGACCCGTGTCTGTGTTGCGGGCTAACAGGGCTCTTATTTTTTATGTGCTCAGACTCAAGATAACATCACGGTCAGGTGGGACCTGGGCCTTAACAAGAAGAGAATCGCCTACTTCACTTTGCCCAAGACTGACTCTGGTAATGAGGATTTAGTCATAATTTGGTTAAGAGGTGATTTTAAGTTTTAAAATATTTGTGACTCTTAAGTAGCATAAAATTCCTAGTTTCACCCTTGTAAAGTGTCCCTGAATTTGAACTGTTGGTGGTGGTGTCTGTGATGTGTGTGAAAACACCGACTCTCCTGTTGTCTTCTCCATGTAAGACATGCGGCTCATGCAAGGGGATGAGATATGCCTGCGGTACAAAGGGGACCTGGCACCCCTCTGGAAAGGGATCGGCCATGTCATCAAGGTCCCTGATAGTATCCTTTGTGTAAAGAAGGGCCGGCATAGGCACCCTCTGCCCCAGTCTCCGACGGGCTTGACCTGTGTGGGTCACCACAGCGGTCTTGGGGCCTCAAAGGCAGGGGAGGGTGTGTGCAGCCCTGAGGGGGGCAGCCCCTTTGACTCTGGCTTGTTTCCAACCGTCAGGCTCTTCAGTTGTCCTAGCTGATACAGAGCTGCTTAGACAGAAGCCAGGGTGCTCTGAACTGTGTGCCCGAGGGCTCTGTGGAACCTGGGCCCTGGGCTTGGCTGTCCTTGCTGGGTGCCCCCCGGGCTCCTGGGGAAGGCACCCCTGGCTGCAGTGGCCCGGACTTGCTCCCGGAGTCTGTCGTTGAGAACACAGGCCCCTCACTATGTTTTCTGCGTCTGGTGCAGAGGAGGGGCTGTCTCCTCAGTGACTGAGTGAGGGCTCCTCATGAAGTCTTTGACAAGGGTGAAACTTAACTCGGCGGTGCAGATTATGGCGATGAGATTGCTATTGAGCTCCGGAGCAGTGTGGGTGCCCCTGTGGAGGTGACTCATAACTTCCAGGTGGATTTCGTGTGGAAGTCAACCTCATTCGACAGGTATGTCCGCCCCCTCCCCGCCCCCGCTTGCCTGCGTCTGCTTGGCAGGCCCTGGCCCTTGGTGTGGCTGCTGCCTCCTGCGTCTCCCCACTGCTCCCTGGCAGCTCCAGTGTGCCCGCTGCTGACCCGGAGCTTCCCCTTCAGAATGCAGAGTGCGCTGAAAACCTTCGCTGTGGACGAGACCTCTGTGTCGGGCTACATCTACCACAAGCTGCTCGGCCATGAGGTGGAGGATGTGATCATCAAGTGCCAGCTGCCCAAGCGCTTCACGGCACAGGGGCTCCCCGACCTCAACCACTCTCAGGTTCTCACCTGTCCTGAGGTGGGAGGGTCCCGGGCCTCAGGGCCTGTGTGCTCAACAGCCATCCGCCTTGCTTACACCCCTAACGGCCACTTGTATCCGAAGGTTTACGCCGTGAAGACTGTGCTTCAGAGACCACTGAGTCTGATCCAGGGCCCACCGGGCACGGGGAAGACCGTGACCTCAGCCACCATCGTCTACCACCTGGCCCGGCAAGGCAACGGGTACGGCTCTCCACAGCCCAGGGTGGGAAACAGGGGGCCCAGGGTGCCTGGCGTGCTGCTTCCTGCGCCATGGTAGTAGATCTGGCCTTTGTGGCTACTTTTTACAAGGAAGCTAGCACAGGGTATGTTCATCCTCGGTTGTGCTGTACCTGTGTGCCCCTCGGAGCTTGGACAGTCTTAGCGGCGCAGTCAGGCAGTGATGGCACTGGAATCAGGAGTTAGTGGGGAGAGGCACACACAGTGTGAAGATCAGGAAGCTCCAGACCATCTACCTTGTTGCTCCTTCAGCACCGTGTCACTCCTGGCTTTAGTCGTAGAGCTTGAGTCGGCTACCCTGTCACCTGTGATCCAAACAGTGGTCTTGCTGATTAGGCTCTTCTCTGGGTGAGCACTGACGTTCGCTCACATTGTATTGAAGGCCCGTGCTCGTATGTGCTCCAAGCAACATAGCTGTGGACCAGCTGACCGAGAAGATCCACCAGACTGGGCTGAAAGTCGTGCGGCTCTGCGCCAAGAGCCGCGAGGCCATAGACTCCCCAGTGTCCTTCTTGGCCCTGCACAACCAGATCAGGAACATGGACAGGTGGGTGTCGTGTCCCTCACCTTAAAGCGAGACACGTCGGGGCAGGCCCCGGTGGCAGCCCCCTCCTGCTCACACGCCGTATTTGCAGCATGCCCGAGCTCCAGAAGCTGCAGCAGCTGAAGGATGAGACCGGGGAGCTGTCATCGGCAGACGAGAAGCGTTACAGAGCCCTAAAGCGCACTGCTGAGAGGGAGCTGCTCATGGTGAGCTCCTCACCCGCCCTGCTGCCCGGGAACGGGCCTGGGCTTTGGGCTTTTGTCTTCTTCACTTGTTCACTGTGGGCTTCCCTGGTGGCTCAGACGGTAAAGAGTGCTGGCCGTGCAGGAGACCCGGGCTTGTTCCCTGGTCGGGAAGATTCCCCTGGAGGAGAGGATGGCAACCCACTCCAGTATTCTTGGCTGAGAAATCCCGTGGACAGGGTCCATGGGATTGGAAAGAGTGGGACACAGCTGAGCAACACTTTCAGTTTCACTTGTTCACTTGGGCCAGGGGACCTGTTTGGATATATTGAGTCCATGTGAGCACCTTTAGTGGGTTCTTTTCCATTTGTGGAGAGAACTCTTAATACCGTTCTCCATGTGCTTTCTCTGAGGTCACACAGAGACAGCTTATTGTCTGAAATGCACTATTTTTTGAGGTAGATCCCACTCCCTACCAGCCTCCCTGTTGCTGGAATCTTGGGAGCCTGGTCTGTGCCTGGGGCGGGTGCAGGTCCTGAGCACCGTCTCTCACTCTCCGTGACGACCAACTGAAAGCATGGCTTCCCTGGTTCAGCACTGCCCCTCAGAGGCTGTCTTGCGGCAGCACAGCCTTCTTCGGGTGTGACTCCCAAGCACTTAGGGTCTTGAGAGCCGGTGCCGCCACAGCCTGGACTGAGGGTGCTGTCAGGGAGCTGTGGGCCCCGGCGGCGTCTGTGTGCTGTCCTGCCTGCCCTTTGGGGTCTGGGAACCTTGACCGCAGGTGCCCTGAGGCCTGGCGCACTCTCTTCCCCAGAACGCAGATGTCATCTGCTGCACGTGTGTGGGCGCAGGAGACCCGAGGCTCGCCAAGATGCAGTTCCGCTCCATTCTAATCGACGAGAGCACGCAGGCCACCGAGCCAGAGTGCATGGTCCCTGTGGTCCTTGGGGCCAAGCAGGTGGGCCACAGCACGCCCCTTGCGGCCTTGTTTGAGACTGCGCGCGCACTTGTGTTCCCGTCCTGTGCAGAGCTTGGTGCTGGAAGCCCACCTCAGTGCTCTGTGCTCTGCTCCATGCCCTGGCAGAGCACACAGGGGCACCCAGCAGGCCTTTGAGGGGGCTTCCCAGGGTGGGCGTGGCGCAGGGTGCTTGCCTGGTGGCTCTGAGAGCGCGCTTCGTGTGCATGCTGGGCGATTCTCCCACTCCCGGTCAGTATCTTGCCGCTTGAATTAGTGTAGTTGGGGGGAAGTATGGACCCCAGTCCTCTTAGTCCCTGAGTGGCCGTGTGGGCTGTCCATGTTTGAACTGTGATGTGGGCCTCTTATCACAGCTGATCCTCGTGGGTGACCACTGCCAGCTGGGCCCCGTGGTGATGTGCAAGAAGGCGGCCAAGGCCGGGCTGTCGCAGTCGCTCTTTGAGCGCCTGGTGGTGCTGGGCATCCGCCCCATTCGCCTCCAAGTCCAGTACCGGATGCACCCCGCACTCAGCGCCTTCCCATCCAACATCTTCTACGAGGGCTCTCTCCAGAACGGCGTTACTGCAGGTAAGCTCGGCCCAGTGCCAGGAGTCCGGGGACAGTGCCTGGTCTCACTTCCTTCCCAGGTGGCCTTCCGTGGTGACCGTTGGTGTGTAGGGGCCCTCCAGGAGGCGCAGTGGGCAGACGTGTGCTCTCGAGTGCAGGACATTCTTGTTGCAAGGGCACGGGGGGAGCCCGCACCTTGGTAAGATCTGCAGAGTCAGCTGTGAGGATTCCCACCAGCGGTGCATCACACATAGAAGAGGGGGTGGCAGAGACAACCCCCGTCCCACTCCTTCCTCTGTCAGTGGTTCTCAAGGTCTGGGCCCTGGGGGTCTCAAAGACTTGTGCACACCCACGAGCAGACTGCTTCCGCTGTAACCCTGGGGTGTCAGGCACCTTCAGGCTGTGCTGACACTTGCAGTGTGACCAGACTGTTGTGTATCGTCTCCACCACACACCTGTGGCAGGCCCCTTCCTGAGTTCAAAGTGAAGAGTACCCCATTCCCTGGTCCCTGAGGCACGTGCTTGTGACTCTGTGTGGGGTGGGAGAGGATGGCTCTGAAGACACTTGGCAGGTGTGTGAGGTTCTAGAAGGCAGGACTCACACACTGGTTACATAGACTGGAACGGTTAGCAGGCAGTTTCTTCAAAGGGCTCAAAGCTGGCCTGTGGCTTCAAGGAAAACAACTCACAGTATTCATCACCAGTGATAGTTGAGACTTCACACCGAAATGAGAATTTTGGAAAACACGTGTCCCCTAGTATGAGCTTACCGTGTCTTCCAGGTGCTGAGTAAATTTTCTGATGAGGTCTGTGGTGGTGACATGTGTCAGATGTGTCAGCCTTTGGAAGCCCTGCCTGACAGGGTGAGCAGCACTTCCCATTCCAACAGGCAGCAAGGGTGCTTCCAAGTCCCTGGGGGTCAGAGGCCATGCAGGTCAGGGCAGGGTAGAAAGGCCATCGTCCCTGAGCTCCAGGGCAGCCTCCCATCCAGTTTTCAGATAGAACTGAGGTAATTCCACAGTCGTGGGAAAGGTCTTAAAAGATGCTTGCTGGGACTTCCCTGGTGGTCCAGCGGCTAGGACTGTGTGCCCCCAGTGCAGGCGGCCTGGCTTCAATCCCTGGTCAGGGAACTAAGATCCCGCATGCTGTGAGTAACAGTTCATGTGCCACAACTAGAGATCTCAAGTGTGCAACTCAGAACTAGCACAGCTAAATAAATATTTGAAAACAACATGCTTCCCTTTTCCACCCACTTGCATCTGTGAGCCCTGTCCATGCTGACATGCTGCGAGGGCTCACAGGAGACTGGGGGCAGGAGTCGAGTAAGCTGGAGAGTGAAGTGAGTTGATAAAATTCACTAAACATATATTTCAGTGAAATATTATTTTTCGTAAAAATGTTTTTAGTTAATATGTTCATCTTTAAACAAATTTTTTAAATTATTTTACATTTTTAGGTTTTAAAATACAATAAATGTCAGTAGATGTAATGCATAGAAATAATAGCTGTTTGGACTGCTCTGCTTGCAGAGTGTAAAGACACTCTGAGAGCAGCATTCATTTGAGAACTGCTGGCTTAGAGTCTTGGTAACACCAGCGGCCCATTACATCGGCTTTGCTCAGCCCACTTTGTAGATGAGGAGACTGAGGCAGAAAGTGCAAGTGCCCGTCCAGGGCCGCACGGCTGCTGTGCAGTACAGTCTTGACACTTGGGGTGCTGCTGGCCTGCCGGGCGGTAGGACTAGGAAGGCCGGGTCGTGAGGAGCTTGTAGGAGACGCAGCTGACACTTGTTGGGAAAGCCAGCACTCAGCACTGGTGCAGACCTCTGCTGGCCTTGCTGCACCGTCCCCGTGGCCCTGGCTCCACAGGATAGAGGCTACTGGCGATGGTCCAGTGCTGAACCACCAGTGTCTGGGGCATGGCACCCCTGAAGGGACTCTTAACAACTCTGAGGAAGTGTAGAGACGTGCCCAGATCCTGAGGGTCCGATTTAGTGAGTTTTCTCTAGGTGACCGTGTCTGTTACCAGCACCTGCCCCTGAAAGCCCTGCCTCACCCACACCCTGCAGCCCAGCCATGAGCCTGTTTGCCACCCAGGGGTGGCTGCCAGCAGTGGGCGGGGGGGGGGGGGGGGGCGTGTCTACAGCATGGAAATTAGCCGGCACTGTGTGCTCGCCCCTGCCCTGTTCCTCGCAGGTGGTTAAAAATTTGCCAGCCTCGGGTCCCTGAGCTTGCTCTAGCCACTGCCCTCACTTGAAACACTGAGTCTTTGCCTCATTTTCAGTTTGACTTAAAAGGGATCTTAGCATGTGTCCTCATAGCTTAGGCTTTCCCTTCATCTATGGTAGTCTATTTCGGTGCAAAAATTTCAGTTTTCTTACATTAATCTGATTAGGTGTAACTCCAGTCAGAAATTCCCAAAGGAATGGGTGGGCTCTCTGATTGGACAGACTGATTTTCTGCATCTAAGGCCTTGCAGAGGACTGAGCGCCTAAGATGAGCATAAAGAGCTGAGGAAGGCAGCGGCTTGTACTTGGGGACGTGACGAGTTACCGTTCAGCTGTGGTCCCGAGACGCCAGGCACAGGGCCTGAGATGGAGGCCAGAGGCAGACCCACCTGTCCACATGCCCTGGTTTGGGACAAGACGGGTGGCTCAACAGTGTCATTGTTAAAAGCCAGTTGCAGGTACACATGAGTCCCTTAAGGTACATCATAAACCTTCTGGAAGGAGATAGGATATCTTCTTTACCCTGGGGCAGACTTAGACAGCAGAGAACACTAACAGTGAGATCTGTTCAGTGAGTAAGCCAGCTTTGTGCCAGGTAGAGTGCTAAGTGTTCCTGGGAGTTTCGGTCAGAGGACCCCCTCCAGTGGCCTCCCCTGGGACCCACAGACCTGGGTCAGTTGCCTGGAGCCTGCCGTTTCCTGCTCTGCTATGTGCCTCTGCTCAGGATGGAATGGCCTCCAGTCTGCTCTCTGCCTCAGCTCACCCAGGCCGGCTGCACTCTCTTCTCTGACAGGATGTTTTCTTTTTTCTCCTCCACGATGCCAGCGGATCGTGTGAAAAAGGGGTTTGACTTTCAGTGGCCCCAGCCGGATAAACCGATGTTCTTCTATGTGACCCAGGGCCAAGAGGAGATTGCCAGCTCAGGCACCTCCTACCTGAACAGGTAAGCAGAGACTTGTCTGTGGGGCCTGCTGGCTTCAGTGACTGCACACCTGTGGTCTTGTTTAACGTGGTGGTGAAAGTTGTCCTCGTTTTCCTTGTCCTTGTTGTGTTCAAACACTTAAACCAGCAGCCTAGGTCCAGCCTCACCTTTGCAGTGTGTATTTCCTGTTGAGCAGATCCTTTAGGAGCCCCGTGAGCCTTTTCTGTCCCTCCTGACTCCGTTGGTAAATGCTGGGCTGCCTGGCCCTGGGTGCGCCAAGCAGGGCCTCCACAGGGTTGTGCTGGAGGCGAGGCTGCCCCGAGCCTTCCACAGCCTCTGGCCTTGGGGGTCTCAGGAGCCCAGAGATGGAGCCTGGAAGTGAAAGCCTGACTTTCTTAGGACGGAGGCTGCAAATGTGGAGAAGATCACCACGAAGCTGCTGAAGGCGGGCGCCAAGCCGGACCAGATCGGCATCATCACGCCCTATGAGGGCCAGCGCTCCTACTTGGTGCAGTACATGCAGTTCAGCGGCTCTCTGCACACCAAGCTCTACCAGGTGCGCCCGCCGCTCCGCTGGCTCCTGCCCCGCCCGGCTGCAGGGCTGCTGGGAGCCCACGGCCGGACCCCAGGGCTCTGCTGGCTTCTGGTCCCAGGCGTACCTGTGGGATCCCATGGCGCATCTTGACACATTTTGTGTGGGCTGAGGGCTCCTTGAAGGAAGCCTGTTGGCTGACCGTGATTATTGCCCCTGTAGGAGGTGGAGATTGCCAGTGTGGACGCATTCCAGGGGCGTGAGAAGGACTTTATCATCCTCTCCTGTGTGCGGGCCAATGAGCACCAAGGCATTGGATTTTTGAATGACCCCAGGCGACTTAACGTGGCCTTGACCAGAGCACGGTACGGAGAGCTGAGTCTTGCTGGGCCTTGCGGGGCGACCCCTCTTGCATAGGAATCTTTCTAAGGTGCCGGGAGGGGTTGGCCCGGGAGCTGCTCCCTGCCTGCTTCTCTTCTTGTCAGTTCTTGCACCCCAGCCACACCTTGGGCTGTGGCACAGGGCACATAGAGGGGCCGGGGCAGAGGGCTCCCAGCAGCGGTCTGGAAAGAACCTCTCACTTGTGGCTTGTCTTTGTTTCTGTGTCCTGGTGGCTTTCTATCCAGTTGCCTTGTTTAGCTCTGGAATATAACTTTTGAAATAGTGAGGGACCCAGAGAATCAGCTGGACCCCGTGTCACCCCACATGAAACCAGACAACAGCCACCATTGTACCAGCTGCAAGCGGGACTCACATTCACATGCTGGTTCCCTCCCCGGTGAGGGCACCTTGGTTTTCATTTGGTAGCCAGCATAGGAGGGGGAGCCCTGAAACAGCTGATGAATGTAAGCTTCCCCCCAGGAGCTTGGCTTGGGCATCGAGTACGTGCCCAGCCCAGCAGAATGCCTGAGGCGGCTGTGGAGTCTGCCTCGGCCATGTGCGACTTGATGCCCAGGAGGCCGACTCGTCTCTGAGGTCATCTTCCCACAGAGATGTCTTGACATCTGAGCTCAACAGAAACCTGCCCTCACATAAACCCAAGCGCAGGGTCGGCAACTTACAGGATGGGCTCCAGTGAAAGTCACCTCAGTCTGCAGTTACCCAGCCATCCCCAGCATTCCCAGTGGGTGCTGCATAGGCAGGGAGGTGGAGGGTGGCTCTCAGTGCTCCTGTGTGGTGAGGAGACAGGGGCGTGGTGGGCAGGGTGCCAGGGGAGCTGCCTGGGCATCTTGTACTTTCAGTTCAGTTGCTCAGTTGTGTCCGACTCTTTGACCCCATGGACTGCAGCATGCTAGGCTTCCCTGTCCATCACCAACTCCCAGAGCTTGCTCAAACTCATGTCCATCAAGTCAGGGATGCCATCCAACCATCTCATCCTCTGTCTTCCCTTCTCCTCCTGCCTTGAATCTTTCCCAGCTTCAGGGTCTTTTCAAATGAGTCATTTCTTTGCATCAGGTGGCCAAAGTATTGGAGCTTTAGCATCAGTCTTTCCAATGAATATTCAGGGTTGATTTCCTCTAGGATTGACTGTTTTGATCTCCTTGCAGTCCACGGGACTTTCAAGAGTCTTCTCCAGCACCACAGTTCAAAAGCATCAAATCTTCAGCGCTTAGCCACCTTTATTATGGTCTAGCTCTCACATCCATACATGACTACTGGAAAACCGTAGCTTTGACTAAACTCTCGGGGCCTACCTCTTGCAGATACGGGGTCATTATCGTGGGCAACCCGAAGGCCCTGTCCAAGCAGCCGCTGTGGAACCACCTGCTGAACTACTACAAGGAGCAGAAGGTGCTGGTGGAGGGGCCCCTGAACAACCTTCGGGAGAGCCTCATGCAGTTCAGCAAGCCCAGGAAGCTGGTCAACACCATCAACCCGGTGAGCGCCCGCCGCGGGCCGGGGGGAGCTGAGAACCCCCCCTCCCCAGGCCACTGTGCTGGGCGTGTGGTAGTGAGTGACGAGTACGAGCTGAGGGCGGGCTGAGTGTCAGTATGTGAACATGAGTGATGCGTGCTAGCCTGTCCCTGCAGAGCTCCGCACACCAGGCGTCTCGAGGCTTTGCTTTTCTTGGCCCTTGTGGAATACCGTCTCACAGGTGGCACCTAGCAGCTCACAGTCAAACCCAGGCAGCTAGGAGCTTGATAAACCCATGGTGGTCTGGGGTTTAAGGAGTGGATGCTGCTTGAGGTGAAGCTCAGAAACAGAAATGGTTGGAATCAAAGGCCAGCTCAGGCGAGGACAGGTGGGCAAAGCCCAGAGAACACGAGTGGCAAGCCTCAGGGTTGTTGTCTGTGTGTGCAGCTTGGCCACCTCCCAGGCACCAGATGTTTGGAAAGTTCTTCTTTGTGTCAGCATGATAAATTCCTCACTGACCTAAACCCTTTGCAGGGAGCCCGCTTCATGACAACAGCCATGTATGATGCCCGGGAGGCCATCATCCCAGGGTCGGTCTATGACCGGAGCAGCCAGGGTGAGTCTCTGCGGGGGCCCGCCTGGCCCCGCGCTTGTTGACTGTTCCCACGCCCACACCTGCCAGCCCTGTCAGTGCTGAGTGACCTCTCGTGCCTCTGTCCATAGCAACCTGCCTGGCAGCGAGAGTTCTTTCTCAGCTTTGCTTGCTTGGAATCACATAATTGGTCTTGGGCAATGTCTAGAGAGACACATGTTTCTAAAATAACGCAGCTGTGTGCGCAGCAGTGTCTAAGCAGACCTTGTCAGTTTGCTTCCACGCCCTCACACCCCCCCCCCCCCCCCCCCCCCCCGCCTGCCCTTGCAGCTCCCTCTCCGGGAGCATCACACCTGCAGCCTCAGGCTGTGCTGCTTTCCCTGAGCTTCAGCTCCATCTGTCAGACCTTGCAGTTGGGTCTTCAGCTGGGTGAGGCTTCTGTGTACTAAGGCCGAGCCTGGCCCTGCTGCCTGGGGCTCCTCCTCTAGCCTGAGGCAGGCTGTAGCCAGTTCCCATTCATCCCACAGATCCCTGCCTCCCGGGACCCTTCCCTGTGCCAGCTGTCGTGGAGGGCCAGCGCCTCGCCTGTGTACTCTTTGCCACCTGCCCAAGTCTCGCAGTTGCCTCTGACCTCCCGCGTGCTTGCCATTCCCCTCCAGGGCAGGTGTACCCCAGCTCCTCCTCTTCCACAGGAAATCGTTACAGACCCTGTCCCTGCCCCAGTGTTCTTCTGGTCCTTAGGCTCAGACTGGGGGTTGTGTTCTTAAATAAGAGCAGATCTTGTCGTCATATCTGATGAGTCCCTGTGTGGCTGAGGGTGTCCTGGGTCCATCCCTGAGGCCCCCATGGACCTGCCTTTACTGAAGGCTGCCCTGGGGGTTTTATCTTCAGTGAGATGCACTGGTCTGTCAAGCTTAGGCATTTTCTTGCTTTTGGTTGGGGGTGGCAGGGTGGCATGGTAGATGTAATATGAATATAACATTTGCACTAAAAAGGGCTATTTAAAGAAATCAGAAATGCAGCATGGTTTCCGTTTTTCATATCCCCATAGGCCAGTGGTTCTTAGAATCCCCCAGGAGAAAAGGTTCATTCCCAGACACCGGCCTCAGGAGGCTGTCGGGGGTGGGGAGGATGTGTTGTGAGATCCTGCAGCAGGTGACTTTGCTGTCGGAGTACACCAGGAGACGCTGGGACAGACAGCAGTGAGAGGACAAGACGGACGTTTCCGCTGTGGGCAGGCCAGCGGCGGTGGCCTTTGGAAGCAGCGTGACGCCTGCTGCTCATGTTGTGTCTTACAGGCCGGCCCTCGAACATGTACTTCCAGACCCACGACCAGATTGGCATGATCAGTGCCGGCCCCAGCCACGTGGCTGCCATGAACATCCCCATTCCCTTCAACCTGGTCATGCCGCCCATGCCACCACCGGGGTATTTTGGACAAGCTAACGGGCCAGCTGCGGGTGAGCACTGAGTGGTATCCCATGGGGAAACCAGCTTGGCCTTGGACTTTGTTTACATCCTGGGTTTGAGCAGGCCTGCTTGTCTGTGAGGCTCAGAACCTCCTTCAGGGAACCCTGGACTGCTGTCTTTCAGGCCGAGGCACCCCAAAAGGCAAGACTGGTCGTGGGGGACGCCAGAAGAACCGCTTTGGGCTTCCTGGGCCCAGTCAGACGAATCTCCCCAACAGCCAGGCCAGCCAGGATGTGGCGTCCCAGCCCTTCTCCCAGGGCGCCCTGACCCAAGGCTACATCTCCATGAGCCAGCCCTCCCAGATGAGCCAGCCCGGCCTGTCCCAGCCAGAGCTGTCCCAGGTGAGCACACAGCCATGAGGCGTCAGACCAGCCCAGGGGCCCCCCTGACACACACAGGCCCTGGGGCCCTCTCCCCTGACGACCTCAGCTGGGGCTGTGGGTCTAGAGCACCCCACACACAGTACTGCCCTGGGTAGCACATCTCCGGTGGTGAGGTAACCAGCATGGGTTTCCTGCTACTGGGCTTCAAGGTAAGCTTCCAGCTGATTCCTTGGGCTGGTGACAGGTTGGACACCGAGCAGGTTCTCAAGACTGGGAGGATGAGTGCGCCTCCTTGCTCAGGGCTCATCTCTCCACCCTTGTCTTACAGGACAGCTACCTTGGAGATGAGTTTAAGTCACAGATCGATGTGGCGCTGTCGCAAGACTCCACATACCAGGGGGAGCGGGCGTACCAGCACGGTGGAGTGACGGGGCTGTCCCAGTACTAGAAGGTAAGCTGGCCTCTGGAGGAGGTGTGGGCGTCTCGAGTCCGCCCCTGTCGCTCTGGGCCCCCTGTGCCTCTGCTGTGTGTGGGGGTGTGAGCTTCACGCGCTCCTCTGCCGCAGTCTTATCCAGAGGGTCTTAGCGCTGCTTCTGGTGGGCAGCCAGGAGGCAGAGAGTCCCCTCACCCTGACGAGGATGGTCTGCCCGCAACAAGGCCAGAGTGGCATGAGAGAGACCTTGGGCCTGCGCGTCGCCCCCCCGCCCCCCGCCCGTGACCAGGGGCCGCGGGAGCAGGGGCGGGCTGTTGATTGCACAGGCCCAGCAGCCGCGACTCTCCGGGTAGGAAGTCTGGTCTGGGCTCCCCAGCAGCCCCTGGAATGGAGCCAGGTGGAACGGGGAGCTGCCCTGGCTTCCGCCTGTTCTGAAGCCTCTTGCCCTCCCTCTCTCCCTGGCAGGTGGCAGCGGAAGAGCTAAGCTATGTGGCTTAGTCCATCAGCATCTTATTCTGGGTAATAAAAAATAAAAATAAATGGATACCTGTTTTCCACTGCTAAAACTGAAGCACCACTGCGAGCAACAGGAGAGGGAGAGGAGCCCGAGGCAGAGCGAGCGCCCTCTGCTGGCGCGCGGCGGCACGGAGACCGGAAGGGAGAGCGGGAGGCGGGGCGGCCACGGAGGACCGCCCGCCAGCGAGCCCCGCCAGCCCCGCGCGCGAGGGGCCCAGCTCGCCCGCCGCGTCCACACCTGGGTCTGCGACCGGGGCGGAGGGAGGAAGACCCTCATCTCAGAGTAGCCCTTTCCTCTGTTCTTTTCTTTCTTTTCTCTTTTACTGAAAGGGGACTACGTTTTAGCAGGAAAAATCTTCGCGTTTCTGTGCTGAGCAGGCTGCTTGCAGTGGCGGCCGTGCCGGGAGAGCCCCGCAGAGTGTGGGTTCTGTCCACACCGGCTCTGATACCGCTGCGCTCATGCTGCCTGCGTTCTAGGAGGGTTTTCATTTCAAGAAAATATGGTGGTTTGTGTTTTTCTGTTTGTTTTTTAAAAATTCTTTCTAAGGAGTACTGAAAAATATACTTTCCTGAGTTTGTCTCTCAAATCTTAGTGGTGGACCTGGGAGATGCGACAAGCTTCCAGAAACGAAGTATAAACATGCCAACACAACTCAAGATTAGAATCAACACCTGTGATGGGAGGAGGATTTTTTTCAGTTTTTAGCTTCCAGCAGCTTCTCCCAGCGCATCAGGGCAGTGAGGTAGCACAGTCCTGGGCCGGGCAGGCAGCTCCGAGGTCTCTGCTGGACTCCCAAGAAGCAGAGAGCTTCCCGTGCACCGTGGACTTGGCCCCATAGGAGGGGCTTCCGGCAGGACTGGCCATGAGGCCAGAAGGCAGGAAGGTGGCTGTTCCCCAGCCAGTTGCTTCTTCCCCAGGGTCCTTCCTGAGGATTTGGTGAAAGGCGGCAGTCAGGAGGACCTGTACCCGTTCCCAGGGAGGCCGCCACCACCCCTGAGGCCAGTTGGATTCACTGAACGCCCCCCACCCCCACCTTGTTCCCCACTTGCCCTACTAGTTTGGAGCCGCTCTACACGCGGGCACAGCTTCGATGAGGTAGGGTCGTTTGTGGGGGGAGAAGGGAGTAAGTTTCCAAAATAAGTTGGTTCTGTGCTAAAGGGCTTGAAAGAGTTTGTCACATCAGGCGTTACACGGGGCCTCTGCCTGGGTCTGAACTGCAACTTGAAGTTATTGTTGCTGGCAGAGGCCCCCCCCCTCCCCCACGCCCAGCTCTTCGCACACCATGGGGTATTAGCCTCCCTGGCCGGCCCTGGTTGGGGACCATCTAACCCTAACCCTGCCTGTCCAGGCCCTGGTGCCCCTGACCCCACCATCCCCCTCCCAGTGTGCCTTATCCCACAGCCTCCAGCTGGCACACGGGAGAGAGGGAGACGCAGGCCCCCTTCCTCTGGCACACAGGAGGGAGGGGGACGCAGGCCGCCTTCTGTGGCAGGCCTCATCACCTTTGCTGCAGGGCCTTCGGTCCCCACTTCTTTGGTAGCTGCATAGTTTGGATAGGTTTCTGCTGTGACCCCTCGTGCGCCGTCCCCATGGGTGACACACCCACCCACCCTGTTTTGTTCCTTGGAATGCTTTGCCTCTGCTTTGTGCTGTTTGCTTTTTTTCTCCACCTTCTTAGCAGCAGTTACTATAAGTTCCCCAAATTAGAAAAACATCTGTACCAAGGCAATGTAACTTTTGGTTTTTGGTCAATTTGTTTTAAGCGCTTTTGTCACCAATAAAATCTTAATAAACATCTCTTGCTTTCACACTGTGGTTGGGTAACTGCAGGGGTGTGTGGCAGAGCACTTGGCCTGGGGGTCTGGCTGGTTGGGGATGTGGGGTTCAGAGCCACCTTGATGACAAAGCTGAGACAGGGCTTGAAAAAGGAGGCCTGGGCCTGCGCCCAGCGGTTCCGAGGTTTCAGGCTCGTTAGATGTTGGGCTCTGGGATGGTTTGTCTGGTGGCATCACTGTTGGGAGCCCCCACCCATTACCTTCGTGGTCAACGGTGATGGTCAATGGCTGCCAGCATTCCCCACCCCCCATCCTGGCCACGTAATAAGACCAGAGGAGCCAGCGGAGCGGACCACGTAGTGTTTATTGTTGCCCCCACCCCAGCCTGCCCGCCCCCGTCAGCGACAGCCGCACTCATCCACCACCATGTCTTCGTAGTGCCGTAGCACTACGTTGTCACTGTTGTCGAAGAAGAGCACGGAGATGGGCGACAAGCGCGCGGGCACGCAGCAGGGCAGGCCGGCGGTGCCGGGGGCGGCCGCGTGCATGAGCGTGCGCAGCACCGCGTGGTTGAGCGCAGGAGTCCCGCCGGGTTCAGACAACACCGCGGGCAGTGCGCACTTGCCCTGGCAATAGTTGGCCAGGAAGCCGCGGGGCGCGATGACCCAGCGGTGCCAGCCCACCTCGCGGAAGCTCACATAGAGCCGCCGTGCGCGACACGCGCCCCCGGAGCCGCCGCCCACTGGGGGCTCGGCCTCGCGCCGCGGCCGGGCCAGGGGGTGGCACAGGCGCTGGTCGAGGGTCACCAGCAGCAGCGAGGCCTCGGCCAGGCGCGCGCAGACCGCGGGGGTCCGGTGACGCAGCACCAGCGTCAGGCGGAGGCTGCGGGGCGCCGAGGCATTGCGGGCCCAGATGGAGCCCAGCAGCTCGGCACGCACCGGCAGCCCCAGCGTGGGCACCACCTGGCGGAGCCCCACCGGCCCGAGGCCCGCTCCCGCCGGCGCCACGCTCAGTTCCCAGCTGCCAGTCGTCTCCACTGTCGCCTCCGCAGCCACGAAGCGCAGCTCCAGGCGAGCCTGGCTCGGGCGCTCGGCTGGTTCCACGGCCGACAGGTCGAAGACGACGGTCCACTCAGGGCACTGCCCTACAGCTGAGGAGGGTTCCGGGGGGCGGGCGGCCGCTCCTGGGAAGAAAGGGAGAGGGCTTGGCTGGCGCTGGGTCCCTCTCGATGCTGGCTGGCCCTCGAGGGGGGTCTGGGTTGGGGACTGCAGAGAAAGGTGAGCGTCTGGAGATGGGGGCGCACCGTCTGTTAGAAGGAGTCAAGTGGTGTGAAGAGCCAGGGGGTGGGGGCAGGGCATCACTTGCGAGAAAGAGGCCCTACCCATTTGGGGTCTGCCCGCGGTTGGGGACTTAGGCAGACAGGGGGCGGGCGGGGGAGGGTGGAGTGGAGATCAGCGAGTGGGGGATGAACGAAAGCCCGCCTGGGGCCAGGGGAACCGATGCTGGGGCGGGGTGGCATCAGCAGGAAGGCATCAAGTGGTGTGAAGCGGCAGAGGGGCTGCGATGGAGTGGGGGCAGGGCTTCAGCTGCAAGCCAGGGGGCCCGGCTCAGAGTAGAAGAGCCTGGCTTTCGGACCGCTCTCTTCGCTGTCCCCCATCCCCTGTCCCCACAGGTGTCCACGCCCAGGACCGCATGGAGTACTGAAGCCCAGGTTGCTTGCGGGCTGGACGGGATGGGTGGGTATCCTCAGGGCTCTTCGGCCTCCCAGACCCACGCCGCCAGCGCAGACCCCACTCACCGCGGTCCAGGACGTGGCGCACGATGTTTCCGGCGACCCCCAGCTCCTCCACGTGGCACGGCAGCAAGGTGGCGCCCGGGGGCATCCTCCGCGGGTCCGCCCTGGCCTCCCGGTGGTCCCGGCGGCGGAACAGGCGCCACATGACAGGGGGTACGGGCCGGGATCTGGGGGCGCCCCGGGGCACGTCGGGCAATCCGAGAGCCTGGAGCAGGGCGGCGGCGGGGCCCGGGGGCGCGGGAGCGCAGGCCGGGGGTGATGAGGGCAATAGCAGGGCCAGTAGGAGGAGAAGGACTCGGCGGCCCGGACGGCGGCACAGAGGTGGCATCTTCCTCACAGGCAGCGGCCGGGCGAGTGCTCAGGGCCTGTCGAGCTCCCTGACCTGTGGGCTGGGGGCGGGACTGGGGTCCCTGGAGAGATCTGGGCTGGGTCAGGGTCCCGGGGGGTGTGGCCGCGATCCTGAAGCCGAATAGGGACCAATTGCGGGGGCGGGGTCTCCGGGGGGCAGGGCATGGGTCCTGGGAGTGGCCAAGGAGGAGTGGGTTGGGGAGGGGGCGGAGCCTGGGAGGGTTAGGGTCCCTGGGGCGGGCTGGGGAGCCGCGTGACCGGTCTCCTAGGGCGAGGTTGGGTGGGACTGGGTCCTGGGCGGCGAAGCAGGGGTGGAGGGGTTCAGAAGCGTTTGTCCTTAACCAGGCCATTCCTCAGCGGCTTCCTGCGAGCCAGAACCGGCCCAGGTTAGCCTGGGGACCCCACGCCCCTAAGCAGCACCCCCCACCCCTCTCCCACCCTCCTGGCCTTTCACATCTTTTTTCCCAGCTCCGCCTCCATCCTCCGAGCCCACAAGGCCAAAAGACCCTGCCATCTGCCTGCCGGGCAAGTGGTCCCTGCTCCTCCCCACAATTAAACCCTTCTCTCCCCTCCCCACCTCCTGGGCCCCCCGCGGCTGCTGGAGGGCAAGTTACCTACCAACCCTACCTGAACCAGGACCTGGACCTCTGCCTCCACAGGAGGCAGAATTGACCAGAGTCCCCTGCGACCCCACTGGGGCAGGGCAGGCTCCTTTCCACCTCCAGGAGCCTTACCAAGAAAGGCTTCCCAGGCCACGATTCCCCATCCACTGCCCGCTGTCTACATCTGCCATAGCCCCTATTTTGCTTCCATGTCCTTAAAACAAGTTATGTGGTGTTTTAAAAAAAAGAATCAATACTATAAGTGCCCAGCTTGAGATCCCAGAGAAAGACCCCTAACTTCTAAACAATGTGCATGGTTTGCATCTTTCGAACTGTCTATAAAGATGTGTGCTCCTGCACTTCAGTTTTCCAAATGGTGCAGCTGAGATGGCATCCATGTGCCCTGGTGCTCTCCTTTATTCCATCTTCCCTGCCTGTGTTCGTGGCAGGTCTCTGGGCTTCCCACTGGGAGGGGACCTGTGCTCTCAGCGGTCTACCCAGGCCCACCTTACTGGACCCAACAGGTCTGCCCCTGCTTCTCACCGCTACTGCCAGCCCTTGCTCAGAGTTACACCCTGTTTAACTGCCAGTCTGCTGATGCCAAGATGGACCTCACTGCAGCCTAATGGTCATGGCCATTGGCCATTCCTGTTCCCACATATGAGAACTCTTCATGCTTTTGCACGTGATCGATCCATCAGTCTCTGCTGAAGTGAGTTCTACAGTCCAGCTTACACACAAGTGTATTTTTTTGAGCCAGTAATACATTCTTGGGCTTCCCTAGTGGCTCAGTGGTAGAGAACCTGCTTGCCAATGCAAGAGATGTGGGTTTGATCCCTGGGTCAGGAAGAGCCCCTGGAGAAGAAAATGGCAACCCACTCAAGTATTCTTGCCTGGGAAATCCCATGGACAGATGAGCCTGGTGGGTTACAGTCCAGGGGATCGCAAAGGAGTCAAACACGACTTAGCGACTAAACAACAAATACATTCTCATGATCTAGACATCAGAAAGCACAGAAAACTCAGTGTGACTGGATGACTCCTAGCAATCCACCACAGTTTTTCTGAGAATCCTGCCCTCTGGTTTGTGAAGCACTCTAGTCCACAGACCCTTCCATGTGAGGACACAGACTTTCCTGAGGAGGCTGTCTCAGTCACTGTGATTCGCTCTTCCCTTGGGCTGGAGTCCTGGATGCCCCTTCCTGGGAGCACATCTCTCCCCCTCGGCCCACTTCTCCGTGGGTCGCTGCTTCCTCTCACTGCCACCACAGGAGTCCTTTATCTAGGAAATCAGAGATAAGCCCCCTGTGGACGGCCCATCTGTCCCATAGCTTCTGGCTTTGCCTGTTGGTCCTTTAGACGGAGCATAGGTGGGATTCCTGGCTTCTTGAGGCTTCTCATAGTTCCGTTGTTGGACGACAGTCTCTCGTTTCCGCTAGTTTGATTGCACATCTTTCATTTCTGCACCAACATCTTTGATCTTTTGGAAGTTTGTGCTGGGGGCTGATGTGAGATAAAGATGGTTACCAAGGAAGCGTCCCACTGACACTTCTTCCCTCCCAGGGGTTCCTTCTTTGTTAATGTTTGATGGGCTCAGCTCTGTTCCCGCTGTTTTTAATTCCTATACTTTTATAGAAGGTTTAATACCTCCAAGGATCTGTATCCCCTGCCCTGGGCCTTTTTATCAGAGCTTTCCTGGAGTTATTCAGCTTGGTTTTTCTGCGCAAGCTTCCAAGTGCCCCCTCCCTCCTCAAAAACAGTGTTAGTATTTGTGGGGGGAGGGGAGTACCCAATTCTGGCAGGATGGCCTCTCTGCAGTATCAGATTTATACATTTTTAGTCTCAGTGCAACACTGCAGGGAAAGAAAAAAATCAGAGTGAGGGTGGAAGCTGGAGGGAGATGTGGACAGGCAGAGACCCAGGTGGTTTCTGAGGATAAGGAGAAGGGAGAGAAGGGGGTCTCTCGAGGGTTTTGGAAGGTTTTCACCTTGAGTTTCCATCAGCTGTGATGGGCAAATGTACAGGAGAGGTAGTTTGGGAGTGGGGCTGGGGGGTTGATTTTGGATATTTGAGGTGCTGAGAATGTCAAGCAGACACTGACACAGAGAATGGCACTCAGAGAGGCCCTGGCAGCTGGGAGAGATACTGGGAAGTCGGGTTGGATTCATGACCGTGGGAGGCAGGAAGCCAGGCAGATGAGCAGGAAGGTGGCAGAAAGTGAAGCGGGGAGCAGGAGCGCCTGGTGATTGCAAAGGAGGGCTGGGCTGAGTATGAGGTTTCTTTTGGGGAGGCTGACAAAAATGTCCTAAAACCATGGTGAGGGTTGCACAACCCTGTGGATGGGCCAAAAACACTGAATCCCACATGATAAATGGGCAAACTGCATGGTGTGTGAATTCCATCTCAATAAAACTGTTTTTAAAAAGGGGAGGGGTTTAAGTGACCGCCAGGTTTGTTTAGCACCAGTGGAGCAGACAGCAGTGGTCTCAGGGGGTGAGGGGGAAAAAGCCCAGAGGCAGCTAGCTTCAGGAAGGGAGGGGAGGGGGGCACTGTGCTGTAAAGGGCGGTGGGGTGGGGAAGAAGCTGGCCAGACGGGCAGAGAGAGAGGCGGCTCCTCTCCTTGATCAGAATGTCCCTGAGCAGGAAAGGGGGTGGACATCGGTGGCCCAGATGCTGGCTTCAGGAGACAGACCAGCTACCAGCCAGCCAGGCAAGAGGGTGGACGTCCTCCTCCTGGGCACACGGGGGCCAGTCATCGGGTGAGGGGACGATGGTGAAGACAGCTGGTGGCCAAGGAGAAGGGAGAGTCCCAGGAGCGCAGGCACCAGCCTGGCATCACTAAAGGACCCTTGGCCCATGTGGCTGCTGTGGCCAGATGGTGGGTCTCAGCTCTTCGGATATGGCAGGGCCTGCTGAGAGCGTGGAGAAGACCAGCGTCTGGGGAGGTGGGGCTGGCAGGTCAGCAGAGCCAGAGTGGGGCACGGGGCCTGGAAGAACGGGGGTCCCAGCAGCCTGAGAGGATGACGGGGGCTTCAGGCCACGGTTGTGCCCGGGGCGCGGGGGCCACTGCAGGGCCCGAAGGTGGAGGCCCAGGAGGGGTCCCGTGGAGGCGGATGAGAAGAGAGAACCAACAGGAGCCAGGTGCCGCCCTGCCACATGATTCCACTCCAAGTCCTTCCAAGTGATTCTCAGCCACCGATTTCTTACTGTTTGCAGACCGAACTGAAGTTTCTCATCATACATGGTCTGCGTGATCCTGGTTCTGAGCAACGGAGGTTGCTCCTGTGGCCTGTTTTTTTTTTTTTTCCTTCAATTTTGAAAAGTGTTCTGTGCTTTAAAAGAGCATCTGTTCCTGGGCTTCCCTGATGGCTCAGCGGTAAAGAAGCCACCTGCCAGTGCAGGAAGACATGGATTCGATCCCTGAACTGGGAAGCTCCCACATGCCTCAGGGCAACTGAGCTCATGCACCACGACTACTAAGCCTGTGCGTTAGAGCCTGGAAACTGCAGCTACTGAGGCTGCGTGCCCCAGGGCCCACGCTCTGCAACAAGAGGAGCCAGGGCAACAAGGAGCCCAAGCACCACAACTAGAGAGCAGCCCCCGCGCGTCGTGGCCAGAGAAAGCCCCAGCACGGACAAAGACACGCCATAGAAATCAAGTTTAAAAACACAAAAAGGAACATCTGTTCCTGCTTCTGAGCCGCCTGCTGAGGGGCACGGACTTAGCCTCCCAGGGTCCCCTCTCGCCATGGTTTAGGGCTGCATTGTGCAGATTCCCCCAGATCAAAGGTCACACCTGAATGTCTCTTCCTGTCCTTTACTTGCAACTTGCATTTATCCTGGAGTTGCAGTCTTTAACCAGGCCAGAAGTGGAGAGTCTGCCTGCAATGTAGGACACCCGGGTTTGATCCCTGGGTCGGGAAGGTCCCCTGGAGAAGGAAATGGCAACCCACTCCAGTATTCTTGCCTGGAGAATCCCGTGGACCGAAGCACCTGATGGGTTACAGTCCACGGGGTTGCAAAGAGTTGGACACGACTGAGCGACTAACATAGATTACCCAAAGGTAATCCCCTGGGACGCCCCAGGTGGCACTAGTGGTAAAGAACCCGCCTGCCAATGCAGAAGACATAAGAGATGCAGGTGTGATTCCTACGTTGGGAAGATCCCTGGAGGAGGGCATGGCATTTATTTTTATTTTATTTATTTTATTAAGCTTGACCCAAACATGGCATCTTTGTGATTCTTTAACATTTTTTTAAATGTTTGGCTGTGCAGCATGTAGGATCTTGGTTCCCAACTAGCAATCAAACCTGCACACCCTGCAGTGGAAACTGCAGAGTCCTAACCCCTGGACCGCCAGAGAAGTCCCAGCTCTAGTTTTTTAATCTCTGAGATTAGGCATTTAAAAGAATTTTACCCAGATACGTGTCAGTTTCTCTGCCGCTGTATCTCTTGGGTATAGTTTTCTTGTTTTCTGAAATATTCTTGTAGAGAAGGTCTGCAAGTGGTAAGCATTCTTAATTTTTGTTCCTGTGGATATTCTTTTTTTTTTTTCTCTCTTGATGGGGATGCTGGGGACAAAACTCAGGATCTCATTTAAGCCAACAGGTATCTTTTCTCTTGAGTAATTGTTTTTCAAGTTGTATACAAGAATCCTGGTTTCTTGTTACTTTCTTTCCACGCTGGAGGTGATATCTGACTCTACAGTCTTCCAGCTTCCCTTGTTGCTGTTAGTCTGTCACCGTTTTGGAGGTCATCTCTTCTTTTCTGTGGTTGTTTTACATTTCCCAGGCTCCTCTGCCCATGGGATTCTCAGGCAAGAACACTGGAGTGGGTAACCATTCTCTTCTCCAGGAGATCTTCCCAACCCAGGGATTGAACCCAGGTCTCCCACACTGCAGGCAGATTCTTTACCATCTGAGCAACCAGGGAAGCCCCATGTTTGGGGCAAGGATGCTTTCTTATTCATCCTGCTGATGATTTATGGTTTGTCATTTTCTGGAAGAATTCTCAGTGTTATGTCTTCTCATTGTTCTCTCTCCGTCTGTCTCTTCTTAGAACTCAGTCAGATAATTCTTACCATTCGAGTTGTCATATTTTCCATTTGTTTAGCTGCATTCTGGATAATTTCTCCACAGCTTTCAATTTATTGATTCTCCTTTAAGCTGTATCTAATTGTTGGAGACAACTTCTACAGTAGGTTGAACCATGGTCCCTAAAAAGATACATTCCCATCCTAATCTCTGGAACTGTGAATGTGACTGTTTGGATAAATAGTCTTTATAAATGTAATTAAGTGAAAGAAACTGCAAAGAGATGATGGTGGTCTAAATCCAATGACAAATGTCCTTTTAAGAGAAGAGCTGGAGAGAAGAGACCATGTGAAGACAGGAAATAAGAGACTCGAGTGATGCAGCCACAAGCCAGAAGGAACACCCAGAAACTGGAAGAGGCAAGCGCGGATCTTCCCCTAGACCTTCAGAGAGAGTTTGTGGCTCCTGTTGACACCTTCATTTCAGATGTCTGATCTCCAGAACTGTGAGAGAATAACCTTCTGTTGTTTTAAGCCCCCTGGTTTGTGGCACTTTGTTACAGCAAGCCCAGGAAAGTAACAGAACATCCAATGCTGTTTTGGCTGGTCTCTCATGTCTTTTACATTTTTCATAAACTTTCAACTTTAGGATAATTTTTAGATTTGCAGAGATAGCATAAAGAGTTCCAGGGCAGACCTTGTCCAAGCTTCCCCGAATGCTGAGATTTTATATCTCCACAGTGCACTTGTCACAACTAAGAAACCAACGCCGGGGACACTGCTATGAGCTAAACCGTAGACTTTATTTGAACTTCACCAGTTTTTCTACAGATGTCTCTTCTGGTCCAGGATTCCACAACTGCATTCAGTCAGTCTGAGCTAGGACAGCTCCTCCATCTCTTGTTTTCCATGACCTGACAGTTTGGAGGTGTCCTGACCAGCTCTCTGGGGGCACATCCCACGTTCTCACTGCTTTTTATCCCCTCTTGTTTTGTACTCAACTGTGCTAATTCTAGTTATCTGCAGGGATTAGGTTCTTCAGGTGGTGCCCACGAGGCAGCATTCCCTGGTCCCCTGTCATCTCTGTATGGAGTTCGTTCTTTGCCATCCTAGTGGGAATGCTGCCATTTGGGGATGGAGGTGCCAGCCTCCCAACCCACATTCTGGCTGGACATTCTTGGGAGAGACAGAACAGGGAACGGGGTGTGGCTAGGGGGTCTGACTTTCTGTTTGCCTCGGGCTCTCCAGAGTTCACTGTCTTACAGCAGAAAGAGCTTTCAGAGTTTTAGACTTGGCCAAGCAAGTGCTTCCCTGACCTCGTTCCTGAAGTTATCTTTAGTCCCTGCTTCTTCCAGAAGCCTCTGAGGGTTGGTCAGACTCCTTGGTGAGACCTCACCAATCTCTATGTGAAATTCCCAACTCAAATTCGCTGGACATGGACAATCCAACATCCTTAGAACTAGATTCCCAACTCCCAACCCCATGGGTGCACACAGCCCTGCCCTGAGTCTCAGCTTGGTGAACGGCAGCTTAAGCCAGAGGTCTTGGATTGTCTTTGATTCTTTTATTTCTGTTTCACCTACATCCAGAGCAAGTCTGGTTAGTTCTCCAACACTGCTGGGATCTGACCACTGAGATGACCTCACCTGCGGCCCAGCCTTCTCGTGTCCACCGTCCCCACTCCCTGGCCTGACTCCTCTCTTGACCCTGGGTGCTGGCTTTCTGGCCTCTCTGACCATCGCCCAGTTCTCTGCTCCCCTTCCCACATCTGTTTCTCTCTTCTTCCTCACTGCCCATGCTGACCCACGCGTCACTGCACTCTGAGCCCACTGCTTCCTGGAAACCATCTTCCCCAGCCTGGTCCCCCACGATCTCCCAGAGGCCAAATCAGAGGGTCTGCAGGGAAGCACCCTGGGGGCCTTCAGCGGCCCCCCTCCCCCACCTCACTGCTGCTCAACCACTCCTCACACTGCCTGTGGGGTGCTGCATGCCTTGGACGTGGCTGGTCACCCCAGCCTGCCTCCATTCACCCCTGGGGCCCCTCTAGGCCAGGGCTTTGGGTGCCATCTGGCTCACATCCCAGGGCTGGCAGCCCCCAGGCCCACCTCCAGAATGCTTCAAGAGGCCCCTTTTGCTCTCTGTCCCTATGGCTCCCACCTGGGTCCAAACCCCAAGCCCTGTCTCCTGCTTGGCTGACCAGTGGTTGCCTCAAGGGATCTTGAAGCCAGGGAGTATCAGCATGAACAGAGGGCAGGCTCTCTGGGCCGCCCACAGCAGCCCCTGCTCCCCACTTAGAGGTTGTTGTCAGGCCTGGCCAACGGCCGCCCCCCACCACTGGGCTTGGCCCTTACAGCTCCCACCACTGAGACCCTGACCTTACCCCTCAACCCTCTGCCCCGACCAGGCACCTCTCTGCCCCCACCTTCCTCGCTGTCTGTTCTGACAGCGTCTAACTCTGTAGCTACATCGTCCATGCCTTTATTGCAGTTTCTCTTTTGAATGGAGGCTCCGGGTGCGGGGCAGCATCCACCTGGGCTTCATTGGCCACCGCGTCTCGGGGGCCCGCCCTCAGCGCGCAAGTCAGACAGAGGTAGCTAAAGGAATGAACTAGGGCCGCCGGCCCCTCCACACTCACTCAGCTTTGCGGGGCTTCGGGCTCGGGGCCTCTGCCGTGTCATATTCCCGCACATCCTTCAGCTCCCGCACCTGGCCCGTCAGCACCTTGGCAGCAAACGCCACGATGTACTGTGGGAGGGGAAGGCAGAGGTGAGGACAGAGCCCTGCACCCCCTGACCGCCGTCTGCTCCTGCCACAGGCCCTCTGCCCCTCGCCTAACGTGCCCCTCTCACTGGGCCTGTGAGAAGACAGCCTGCGCCCGGAGGGCTCCTCGGGGACGGGGACCGGAACAGGACCGCGTCTGCGGAGGGCCGGGCGGCGAGGCGTGGCGGGCGTCCACTCACCAGGAACCAGTAGAGGTTCATGAGGGTGAGCAGCAGCAGGAGCGCGTTGAAGAAGAAGTAGAAGGGGATGTCAGGCACCGACCGCAGGCTGCAGTAGCTCGTGGCGTACAGGACCTTGAGCGGGAACCAATAGAGGCGGAACCAGAACCTGCAGGGGGAAGGGGCGGCTCGGGGAGGCTGCGGGGGAGAAGCGGAGGACGGCCCCACCCCGTGCCGGACCTGTCCCGGCGGGACTCTTCCATCTGTCCCCGTCTCCTCACCCCACCCTTGTTTATCCCTGCCCCTCTGTTCCCATTCCTGCTCTGTCCTTTGCGGCCCAGTGGCTTCTTCCCGACTCGCGCCGCCTGCTGCCCCGCCAGGCCCTGCCCCGCCCACCATGCCCCACCTGCTTCCCCGGCCTGGCCCTGGCCCTTCCCACAAGCCCTATCCCGTTCCCAACTGGCCCCACCTACCTCACCAACCCCACCCGCTTCCCTGCCGGGCCCACCTCCTCTCTGGGACCCTCTTTCTTCCGGCTCGGCCACGCCCACTCTTCTAAACCCCACCCCCTTCCCTGCCGGGCCCGCCCCCTCTCTGGGACCCGCTTTCTTCCCACTCGGCCACGCCCACTCTTCTAAACCCCACCCCTTTCCGGCCGGACCCCGCCCCTTCCGCTGGTCCCCGCCCCCTCTCCGCACCAGCTGAGGCAGAAGCTGAGGCAGCCCAGGTCGGCAGCCAGGGCGTGCAGTCTGTGGTGGGCGCCTCCGCGGGACTTGAAGTAGACATTGAGCTTGGTGAACTCCAGCTGCACGTCGCTGATGTCATGCAGGAAGAGCACGAGGATGCCCACCTTGTGGTACCTGGGGAGGACAGCGGGAGAGCAGAGGGCCAGTTACAGGGGACCCCCACCCACACCCAGGCTCCCTAGCACAGGCCCCCTGGCCGCCCCCCAGGCCTCCTGTGGGCCGTTCGCAGCCATCCTCCCTGGCCCGGCTGCCCTGCCCATCCCTTCACGCGGGTAGGTCAGCAGGAGCGCCCAAACCGCACCCACCCTGTGGCAGCCCCACCCAGGCCCTCACCCTATCCCTCGTGGCTCAGGAACCTCTCTGCAAGTACTTTCTCTGATCCTTCCTTACCTCTGTGACCCCTCACCCCTCTGTAACCCCTGACCCTGACATGTCCAGATCCCTCAAACTGTAAACACTGCCTCACTGATGTTCCCAGGTTTATACATTTAACCTGAACACAGCCACGATCTGCAGGCTTGCCCGAGACAGGCTGGGTCCCCACCAGGATCTGCAGAAGCCTGGAGCCCCGCTCCTGACCGCTCACAGCTGCGTGGGCCAGCGGCCTGAGTCCAGCCTGGACGTGGCCGTGTGCCTTGGTCACGTCCCCACTCTGTCCTCCTGACAGCTCAGGCTCCCGAGTCACAGGCTGTGCTCACCACCTAGCATCCCTGGTGTTCCTGGAGGCTTCCTTCATCGCCCTTCAGTCTCTGCTCACCTGTCACCCCCAACCCCCCACCTAACCTCACCACCTTGGTAGTCCTCATCTTTCCACTCGGGTTTTCCAGTTATCACCTTCAGATAAGTGTCGGTTTTTTTGGCGGGGGGTGAGGGGATGTTATCTGACTCTACCCTCTAGAGCAGGGCTGTCTGATAGAATTTTCAGGAATTACAGGAATGTTCTAAACCTGCACTGTCTGAGACCCAGAGTCACCAGCTACCGAGTCACCAGCCACATACTGGCACTGAAGTACAGAATGTGTGATTTTATTTAAGCTTAATAAACGTTAACAAGGCCACCTGTGGCCAGCAGCTACTTGTGCTGGAGGGCACAGCTAGTCCAATAGGAATAGAATATGAGCTGTATGTGTCATTTAGTTTTTTAATTTTATTGAAGTACAGTTGATTTACAATATTGTATTAAATTTATGCTATATAGCAAAGTGGTTCAGTTTATATATGTGTATTTTTATATATATAAAGGCTTCCCTGGTAGCTCAGCTGGTAAAGAATGCACCTACTATGCGGGAGACCTGGGTTCAATCCCTGGATTGAGAAGATCCCCTGGAAAAGGGAATGGTAACTCACTCCAGTATTCTTGCCTGGAGAAGCCCATGGACAGAGGAGCCTGGCAGGCTACAGTCCATGGGGTCACAAAGAGTCGGACACAACTGAGCGACTAAGCACATTCTTACATATACATATATATTCTTTTTCATATTTTTCTATTAGGATTTATCACAGGGTACTGAATATAGTTTCCTGTGCTATACAGTAGGACTTTGTTGTTTAACCCTTCTATATGTAATTATTTACATCTGCTAATCCCACTTTCATTTTAAATTTTCCATCAGCCACGTTAAAAAAAATAAAGTGGAAGAGGTAAAATGAATTTTAATAATATATTCTAAATAATTCAGCATATCTGAAGTAGTTATTCAACATGTAAATGAGATAGCAAAGGGATTGCAAGGTATTTTCACTCTCCTTTGCCTTGGAATCAGAGTGGCTTTTACATATACAGCAGCTTGTGGCTTGGACAGGCTCTGCCTTGAAGCGTGTGACCACATGTGGTGGCCACCGTGGGTTCTGGAACATCAGGGTCTGTCCGGCTCATGGCTGCACCGCCAGCAGCACCTGCCACATGGCAGGTGTTCAGTAAACACTTGCTTTGTGACCCGGCCAAGGATGCCATCTAGGAGGGGTTAGAGGGGCACAGATGGGGTGGGGGCAGGAGGGCCTCTCTGCACCTGTCTCACCCCGTCACTCTAGAATCTCCCTCCAGAAGCTCCCCCACGGACACTCCCATGCCTGACCCAAGGATCAGCCTCTGTCCTGTGCCAGCCTCCTGCCACTGCTCACACCAGCACCCTCTACCCTCCTGTCCCCCTGGACTCACCGGAAGGCGTAAGAGGAAACAATGAGGGCCAAGGTGACCACGTGGTGGACGAGCATGACCACGGAGTCCTTGCGCCAGGCATCCAGGTACAGCGTGGCATAGATGGAATGGCCGTAGAAGCTTCCCTGTAGCAGGTAGGCCACTGCAATGTCTCGTGGCACTGCCATGCCCGTCTTCCAGTCTGGGGAGGGCCGCACCATGCCGTCAGGGACTCACAGGGCCTCTGGGACCCCCAGTGGCCCCACTCACCCCCTCAAGCAGGTATATGCCGCATGTCTCTGCAGGTGCGCTGGTGACCGGGTTTCTGCTACCCACTCTCCACCCGTCATTGTTTAGGAACAGGCATTACCTTCTAGACCGATTCTACATCTACAGAAAAAGGTGCTCCTACCCTCAAAACGACTCCTACAAGTCCATACTAAAGGAAACCAACCCTGAATATTCATTGGAAGGACTGATGCTGAAGCTGAAGCTCCAATACTTTGGCCACCTGATGTGAAGAGTCGACTCATTGGAAAAGACCCTGATGCTGGGAAAGACTGAAGGCAGGAGGAGAAGAGGGTGGCAGAGGATGAGATGGTTGGATGGCATCACCGACTCAATGGACATGAACTTGGGCAAACTCTGGGAGATGGTGAGGGACAAGGAAGCCTTGTGTGCTGCAGGCCATGGGGTTGCAGAGAGCTGAACATGACTGACCGACTGAACAGCAGCCCTGAAATGGGTCCTGTGCAGAACTTCCAACTCTGCCCCAGGCCCCCTTCCTGTAGTCTCTTAGTCACCAGGCTTGCTCGAGACCCTCCCAGCAAAGTCCAGACTGATGGAGGTGCCACCTGCCTCGCTGTGCCGGCCAGTGCCCAAGAGTGTGGGTGCTCCCGCACAGCGGGCCCAGCTCCACTTCGCTTCCTCCTGTAGTTCCCCCCGGCCACCCCCAACACATGCGCCCAACCACACTCCGGTCTTGAGCCTTCCCAGGAACACCGACCCCCAGCTACTTCTACCACCTCCGTCCCCTCCTCAGCCCATCACCAGTCTCTGCCTGGCCTGACCGAGAACTCCGGGCTTGCCCTGCTGTCTGCAGCTCCTCCTGCTCACCCCACTCTGAAATGGCCTCCGCGGGCTCCGTCCCAGGTCTTCTGTCCCCACCCCCTGCCTCCATGACTTGGAGCTAGACCCTCAAGTCCCCCTGGAGCCCTACCCCCTAGCTGCCTCCTCCAGTGACAAGCCTTCGCCTGTGCCCCAGCCCCTCCTGCAACAGAGACCCACTTGGGCGCCTCTCGGAGGGCCCCTCCTTGGTCCCTGCCCCCACCCCCGCCCTGGACCAGGCACTGCCATCTCCTCCCAGCACTGCCCCAGCTTCCTGGCCTCCAGAGTCTGTTCCTGACTGTTTGATGGTCCATTCTCCCTGCAGCCACCTCGATGGCTGGGAATACACAGACCCCATGACCTGGCAAGCCCACTCTTGGCCTACGGCCAAGGGAAATGAAGACAAGAACGCTTTACACCCATGTTCACGGCAGGACTAGTCACAGTCATCAAAAGGGGAAGAGCCCCAGTGCCCGTCAGCAGGTGAATGGATGCACAAAATGGGATAAATTCACACGATGGAATATTGTGCAGCCACAAAAAGGAAAGATGCATTAACACACACTACAATGTGGATAAACCTCAAAAACATGATGCTGAGTAAAAGAAGCCAGACACAAAATAGTCACATATAATCACAAACCAATGATTCCATGTAGAAGAAATGACCAGAACAGGCAAATCCGTGGGGACTGAAAGCAGATTAGTGTTTACCTGGGGCTGGGAGAGGGAGGATGGGGAGCTGCTAATGGGGATGGGTCTCCTTTTGGGCAAGATGGAAATGTTCTGGAACTAGATAGATATGGTGCTTGGACAACATGTGACTGTGCTGTCACTGATTTGCTCCCTTTAAAATGGTGAATTTTTAAAAATTGTGCTAAAAATATATATATAACATAAAATGTACCATCTAGGCCACTTTTAAGTTCAGTAGCACTAGGTATATTCACAGTGTTGCGCAACCAATCCCCAAAACGCTTTCCATGTTGTAAAACTGAAACTCTGTTCCCACTGGAAACTCCCACTGTCCCCCTCCCCCAAGCCCCTGGCCCCCACCATCTACTTTCTGTCTCTGTGGATCTGACAACCCTATGCTGTGCTGGGCTTAGTTGCTCAGCTGTGTCAGCCGCTTCGCGATCCCATGGACAAAGCAGCCCGGGAGCCTGGTGGGGTCCTCTGTCCATGGGGATTCTCCAGGCAAGAATACTAGAATGGGTGGCCATGCCCTCCTCCAGGGGATCTTTCCAACCCAGGGATCAAACCCAGGTCTCCCGCATTACAGGTGGATCCTTTACCAGCTGAGCCACAAGGGAAGCCCATGAATACTGGAGTGGGTAGCCTATTCCTTCTCCAGGGGAATCTTCCCGACCCAGGAATTGACCCAGGGTCTTCTGCATTGCAGGCGGATTCTTTACCAACTGAGCTATCAGGGAAGCCCTAAGTGCCTCATATAAGTAGAATCACACAATATTTGTCTTTCTATGGCTGGTTAAAATCATTAATTCTGGGAATTCCCTGTAGTCCAGTAGTTAGGACTCAACACTTTCATTGCTGGTGGCATGGGTTCAATCCCTGGCCAGGGAACTAAGATCCTGCAAGCCACATGGTGCAGCCAAATAAATTAATAAATAAAATTAGATAGTTAATTCTATGTTATGTTTAACTAATTTTAAAAACGCAAAACACCCGACAGATCACTCACTCCCAACTTTAACACGTCCAGGGCTCCCGAGACTCAGCAGCCAAACTCAGCCTTGGGAGCGTCTCTCATCACGCTATGTGTGCAGCCGGGCAACAGTCAGCAGAGGGAGCCCCCCACCCCGCACCTGCCAGGTGCCTCTGTCCCTCTTGACAAGGAAGGGACATGGAGGTGCCCTCTGTGGAAACTGGACATCTACTTTTCCACCTATCGCATTCAAGACTGGTACAGTGGGGAGCATCCCCTCTCCAGCCATGGGCCCTGGATCTGGGCTAGAGGGAAATGGGGAGCAGATAACTCCCCGTCCGGGCTGCGTCTGTGCCTCCTGGCACATTTGGAGGGGGGCAGGCAGGGCACCTCGTCTCCACATACACTCCCTTGCTGCTCTGGACTCTCCACATCACCCTCGCCTCATCCCCCTCCTCGACCTCCAGGGTCAGCTCCTGGTCTCCCCACACCTGCTCCACCTCCACCCCCAGACCCCAGCATCAGCCCCACCCTCCTCCCCTCTCACACCCACCTCTGGTTTGGCAGTAATCCTACCAATTCTGCTTTCAAAAAATTTCTTAATGATGTGATCTCTGCCTCTCTCTTTTTTTAGTTTTGGTCATGCCCAGTGGCATGCAGGATCTTAGTTCCCCGACCAGGGATCCAACCTGTGCCCTATGCAGTGGAAGCACAGAGTCCTCACCACTGGGCCACCAGGGGGAATCCCCTTAAAACATCTCTTAACCACTTCTGTCCCTGCTTCAGCCCTGTTCTGGGCACAGACACCAGCTCCCGCCCTCAGCCCCTCAAGTCATCCTATCAGTGTCCCCATTTCTGCTCTCGGCCCTCTGGTTAAGGGCTCCGCTGCCCCGGCCCCAGCTGACTGGGCTCCTTGCTGTTTCTGGTCAGCCAGTAGCGTGTCTGTCTGACAGTAGCCTTTACATCTCCTATCTGCCCCAGGCTCCTCCCAGTCCCCACATAGAAGTCACCTTTGGTGAGACCATTCCCATCCCTGTGGCCTTCCTGGTGGCTCAGATGGTAAAGGATCTGCCTGCAATGCAGGAGACCTGGGTTCAATCCCTGGATCAGGAAGATTCCCTGGAGAAGGGAATGACTATACTGGAATACCCATTCCAGTATTCTTGCCTGGAGAATTTCATGGACAGAAGAGCCTGGTGGGCTATACAGTCCATGGGGTCACAGAGAGTTGGACATCAGCTAACACTTTCCCCGTCCCTGTAGAAAATGCCCTTCTCCCCATCTCCCAGACACCCCATATCCCCTCTCCTCTCCTCACTCAAGATTTCTCATCTGTGTTTGCCACCATTAACAGATTTCCTATTTCATGGTCTGTTACCCCAAGACACAGAGGAAGGGCCCTTTCTCTCACCTGCCCACAGTTGTGCCAGCACAGCGCCTGGTACCGAGTAGGTGCTCAATAAATGTGCACCCAAAGAAGCAGCTAAGTTGCAAGTGTGGTCACACAGAATAATTTATAAGGAGGAGCCAGAGGCAAGTCCATGCCCGAAACTTTCAAAGAGTTCAATTACAGTTCATTCTCATAAAAGAAAATTGAATGACAACTAAAACCTCCCCCCAGGGATTTACGACATGGGAAAAGCGGTCCTGCGGACAGCAGGGTCCCAAAAAGAGACACACAGGGGTTCCAGGCACAGCTCCCTGGGGCCACAGGAACCCTCTCAGGATGTTTATATATCACACGGCAGGAAACACGTCCATGTGTGTCCCAGACGCACGGACTGTGTGGTCAGCACAAGGGTAGCGAAGTCTGACCCCTCACTGCAGACTGTTCTCTATCAGCCTCCCGGCTGGTGACAGACGGCGCTGCAGTCACCTTCCTGCCCATCCCCCACCCACAGCTCAGACCTTCATGAGACTTCCACATCGAATCCACGCAACGGATGCAGTCACTTCCCCCCACCTATATCTCCTCGCCAAGCTGGTCCAAGCCACACTGGTCGTTCACCTGCCCCCTGGGCCCGGCTCCCCTCCTTACCCAAGGTTCATTTCCTGGGAGCCAGAAAAAGCTTCTTATAATCCACAAACCCACCCCATTTAGGATGAAACTCAAGCTCCTGCCGTCCTCCTCTGGTCTTTAGACATGGCGCTCATGCAAGCCCCAGGGCCTTTGCACGTGCTGGACTGCCTGCCAGGGCCCACACAAGGGGTCACCTCCTCTAGGATGTCTCCCTGAGTCCTGACACAGGGTCAGGTGCCCCCTTTCCTGGCCCACAGGCCCCTCGATTGCCACTGTCTCGGGGCCGACATCCAGTATGGGATGTCTGATGAGCGTCGGGCTCCCTGAAGTAGCTTTCTCTGAGTTCCGAACACAGCCCTCCCCCAACCTGCCCCACCCTGGGAGGGGCCCTACCATAGAAGACGGAGGGTGGGTCGTGAAAGAAGGGGTAGTCAGTGCCGAAGAGCAGGTAGGTGCTGTAGCTCCAGGCGCCCAGGTAGAAGAGAAACTTCCAGGCGCTCTCAGGCATCTTGGCGGCATCTCTAGGCTGGAGGCGGCACCGCTTGGCTAGGGGCTATGGGTGAGAAGGTGGGTGGGCCATCAGCACTGGGGGCGCAGGTCCACTCCTCCAGGGAAGGGAAACCGAAGCCGAGGGACTCCCCAGGCCAGGCAGTGTTGGGGAGGGCCGGGCCAGGTCCCCACAGCCTCCTGGAACGTAACCAGAGCCCACGAGCGCCTGCCAAGGGCTAAACTTAGTGCCCAGCTGTCCAGCCGCAGTGGCCTGGGGAGGGGAGTGATGGGGGAGACCTGAGAGGAAACGGGAGGGAGGCTGTGAGCAGAGGAAGGGGACGTGTGGGTGTAAAGCCAGGGAGATCACTGGGTCAGTCTAGGGGACTGGGGGTGGGGGGGGTCTCAACAGGAGCTGGGGGTATGACAGGGAGGAGGGAGGATTAAAGAGAAGATTTGGAAGGGGCGGTGGGGGTGAACCTGTGAGGAGAGCATGGAGGCAAATTTGGGGGCATTTGTGGGGGACACAGGGGGCTGGAACCCAGTGATCCCCAGGGGGAGAAACTTGAGGGGAAGGGGGTGCCTCAGAGGTGGAATCTGGGGAGACCTGAGAGGAACAGAGGGCTGTGGAAGATGGGGGAGGGATGTGGGGCAAGACCTGGGGATGCAGGGCGACAAAGGAAGGGAGGATGCAGCAGCAGAATAAAGAGGGTCAGGGCAAGGACATCAAAGACAGGCGGACCTGAAGGGACATCGGGGAAGGCACAAGAGAACTGGGGGCATGAAACGGTGAGACGTGGAGGAATCTGCAGGGCTCAGAGCCCCTGGAGCCCTGGGAGCAGAGCCTCAATCTCCCTGGGGGCGGGGCTCCACAGCTGCCGGCCAAGCCCCGCCCCCCTCCCCTAGGAGAGGCTGAGGGGGCTGGAGCACCAACAGTCGCCATGGAGACAGTTGGAGCCAGCTCCAGTAACCCCTGGCAACCAGACAGCTGCCAAGAAGATGAGCTTTGGAGGACGAGGCAGCCCACCCGTTTCTGGGGAAGGGCGAGCCACAAATTTGGAGTGAATGCCAGACCTCCGGGGATTCCAAAAGTGGGGGCGCTGTGATCTTGCTGTCCCCTACCCAGCTCCCTCAGGAAGTGAGGAGGAAGCCTGCTCCAACCTGGTAGTCCCAAAGTGACCGTATCCCCTCCTGGGCTCTGGTGTTCCTGGACCTCTCACCTCCCAGCTGGAAACTTGCAAGGTGGGGGAAGCAACAAGGTTAGACTGGGCCCGGAGCTTGACATATGGAGCAGCTCTGGTCGTGCCGGCCGCCCCTCCCTGGAGCAGGGTGGTGGCTGGGGTCTCTACCCACCATGTGGGTCATATGGGGGTGGGGACAACGGCAGCCAGACAACATCCCATCCTCGACTTAACAAGGGCCAGCCTCTTCCCTGCAAGCAGAGAAAGGCCCCTTTGTTGGCTCCGGGCACTCTGTCCCTGCACCCCCTGCCAGCTCTGGTCAGACGGGCGGAGTGACCCCAGCTGGTCCTCGAGGGAGTCACAGCCCAGAGATGAGTCCAAACGCCTTCCCACAAGCTCCCACAGCAGCGACCCCTCCCCAAGGAAAGGAGGGAGACCAGGCACCAATGTCACCCCCGGTCACTCTCCAGGTGGGGGAGGTGGCCTTCCCAGACTCGCCGGAAATTTAGTAGTTCGGTCGCGACCCCTTGGGGGCCGTACAGTCCGGCTTCGAGGACCCAGGCCGCGCGACCTCTCCCAAAGACTGAGAACGCGGCGTCGCCAGGGAGCCCCGGGTTTTGCATCCCTTGATCGGAGGGTGGCGCTGACTCCAGAGAGTCCAGCTACAGCGAGCGGGCAGCTCCGGCCTCTTCCCCGTAGCAGCGGACAAGCCAGTCCCGCCGCCGCACCGACCCAGGACACCAACACGGTTCGGAGAGCGCCCCGCACGACCCGGAGAAGCAAGGCGCAGACGGCCCCTGTGCGCCGAACCTTCTCCTCCTGTGTCCTCCGCTCCGCAGTCTCCGGCTCCACCGGGCCCGAAAGAGTGCGCAGCAGCCAAGGCCCTCGCGCCTCCGGGGCCTCCTTGTGCCTCACTGACCGGATCTGCCCCCCACATCTTGAACACTCTGCCCGAGTCGGGGTCCCCGCGTCCCACTCTTCCCCAGCCCGGTCACACCCCCGCATCCACCCCCACTCCCGCCCCGCCCTGACCGATAAGGCACCCGGCGGCCCACGATTCCGCGGCCCGAGCTCCTCCAGCCCGGGGCCCCCACGTCCTAACCCCTAGCAGCACTGACCCGAAAGAGGCGCGAGGTGGCCGCCGAGCGCAGCACGGTCCAGCCGAGCGCGCCGAGGGCCAGCAGCAGCAGCTCGGGCGGCGCCAGGTGCGCGTGCTCGGCCAGGCCGCGGCGAGCAAGCCCCCAGCCGCAGTCCGCGCAACCCCGCGCCGCCGCCAGCGCGCTGCCCCAGCCGCGCTGCACCAGCTGCGCGTAGCTCGGCATGGGCTCGGGCCCCGCCGACCCCGCCGCCGCCATGCCGCTGCTCCCTGCCGTCCCGGCAGTCTGCTCCCGCCCACGGTGGCCGCCGGAGCCGCGCGCCCCGCGTCACGCGCTGCAGTTGGGCCGGGGGGCGCGCTGGCGGGAGTTCTTGGGACGGAGGGGCGGGACCGGCGCTAGCCCCGCCCCTCAGGGACGGGGCGCGGCGTTTACGATTTCGGGGCGCGCGGTAGCTGGGTCCCGCGGAGGCAGCGTCGGCGTCGACCTCGGGTGTACAAGTCCCGGCGTTGTCGCGCCGCGTCCTGGAGGCGGGCCAGCGCTCGGGCTCATTTTCCAGTGGAGGAAACCCAGGCGCGGGAGGGTGGAGCAGAGGTGGACTGGGTGTCTTGCCTGCCGCCCGCCAGGCCTAAACCCAAGAAGGACCGGAGCGGCCCCGTGCCCCCACCCCTCGTCCCCGCTTGCATGCCCTTGCTCAACCTGGGCCCCTTCACCCCACCAGGCTGTGTCCTCGACATGGGGCACAGCGGGCACCAGCAGGCCGCACCGGGACCCGCGATTCTCTTTCCCAGGCCCTCCAGCTTGTCTCTGTCGCCCTGTCCCACACTCACACCTCACCACGTCCCGGCCTGAGGGCCACCTGCTGCCCTCCGTGCCCTTGAGGACCCGTCAGGCCACTGCAGCAGGTTAACAGACCTTCAGGGAGGCCAAGAGAGTGGGTGCCCCAGGTGTGTGTGTGGGGCCCACTTGGGTTGAATAGAGACCACTGCTTCATTGGGACCACCCCTGGTGATCTTCCATTATCCACCCACCAGGCCTCGTGTCCAAAGCCCCCAAAGGCCATCACCAAAGGTCACTTCTTGGGGACATCGGCTGTCCTGCCACCGATGGCCTTCATTCCAGCCCCCGGATTCTCGTACACCTGTACCCCTCCCTCGCCCCCACCTTACAAGGTGCAGAGTTAATCCGCGTGGGCCGTGCAGGAGCCTGGCTGGGTTCCATACGGCCACTAGCCTGACCCGGCCTTCACGCATACAGGTGAAAATGGAAGACAGAGGGGCCAAAAGGACCCTCATCCCTCGTCCTTTCCCTTACTGCCTATCCCGACCCCTAGTCTTCCAGCACATCCAGTTCAGTCCACCTTCAGACGTTTCCAGAATCCAGTCAAGCCTCTCCATCTGTGCAGCCTTGTTCAACCCTTGTGCCTCCTCCTTACCCCACAGAGGCCAGAGGAAACCCACCCGCTCCTCCTCTGCTCCTTCCATGGCTCCCATCACCCAGAGGAAAAGCCCACCTTCTCACTGTGACTCACAACCCACCCTCAGGCCTCCTCGCTCCTTCCATTCCAGCTGCACTGGCCTCACAGCTGGAGGTAGCTCTCCAACAGCAAGCAGTTCTGCCTCGGGGCCCTCGCACCGCTGCTTCCTCAGGTATTGGCAGGGCCCTTGCTTCCCCAGCTTCAGGCTTTACCTCCAGAGTCACCTGGTCGTTGCACCTCCCTGATCCCCCTGCCCCCATCAGCCTTGTCCTTGGCACGAGTCACCATCTGTCCTGCTCTGCCGCCTACTCAGTACTTTTTTAATGTGCTCTCCGTGTGGGCAAGCATTCTGTCTGTTAAAGATACCCAATTCTATAGCCAGCCTGGCAAGCTGAGGGGAGCTAAGGGGTCCCAGGACAAGCTGCTGTCCAGCCGGGCAGCCCTGTACCGCCCCAACTACCCATCTCTGCCCTCCCCCTGCCCCAGGCACTATCTGGTCACCATGGCACCCATCGGTAAGGGGAGAGCTGTGCCCCCACACCAGCCCCAGCCCAGCCTCAAGTTTCCCTTTGGCACGGCCCAGGTAGGAGGCTGCCAACGGGTGGGTGCAGAGGAGAAACGGAAAGTGGCCCCTGGTGCTGGCAGCTGGGAACCTGGGCTCCCAGGCACCAAGGGCTCCGAGGGGGCTGCCAAGGTCCCAAGAAAGGCACTTGTACCCTGCTCTTCCTGAAAGGGCAGGCCTCCTCTTCCCCAGGGAGCTTACCCCAGCCCTCACCCTTGTACACAACACTGCCCCTGCCCTGGAAGGCCTCTGCAACCTCAATCCCCTGCTGACCTGGCGGGGAAGGGCTGGGGGTCCCTTGCTCTCTGTCCTGTCTTGGCAGTCAAAGGCCAGCTCTGAGGCAGATGAGGTCAGGTTCTGGGAAGCCAAGCATCTTCTTTCTTTCCCTCCCCAGGCACGGGCCCAGAGACAAAGCCCCATCGCCTTGTTGACTCTAGTGCGGCCCCAGGATCTTTGCACAGGCTGTCCTTTCTGCCCAGGAGGCCTGACCTCCCAGAACCCGGGCTGACTGATCCTTCTTGTTCAGGCGGACACGGCTCAATGGTGACCTCATCCCAGAGGCCCCGCACACCCCCACCCTCTGTTGTCCAGCTTCTACTTATCAAGGGGTGCTCACTGGGCACTCATCTCTCTGGGCAGGGAGCTCGGCGCTCCGGCCACAGGAGTGCTCTGGCACCCACGCCCCCATCACGGCGGGTCTGTCCTGACTCACGACACGGCAGCAAGGAGCAGGGGCCGGTGTGGTAGGGTGATGTTTACTCCTCTGAGGACCTGGCAGACCCCTCCCCACTTAACTGAGCTGAGGCCTGAGTACTTCTGGCACCCTCACCACCTCCAGACCTCCCAGGGGTGTTGCGTTTAAATCCTGGTACCCCTTGTGATGGCTGTGACTGCCCCGTGCCTCAGCTTCCCTGGATGTCAACAGAATGTAGGGGTAGCTGTTTGGCCACCAGGGGTCCCTCCCACCTGCCCCCTCAAAGTGGCTGGAGCAAACACGGATTGGGCGGGGATTCCTGGAATGGAGACATTTATTGAAAAACCGCGGGCTGGGCTGGGCTTCCAGCCTGCGCTTCTAGCCGAAGGGCAAGTGCCTGGCGGAGAGAGCAGCAGAGCCCTGGCCTCGCATCCTCACGGCTCCTCCGCAAGTGCCCCTGGGGCAGGCCTCAGGCACTGGGGGCGTACTGCAGCACTAGCCGGTCAAAGTCGTTCTCCTTCGACGCGAATTGGGGGTGCAGGGGTAGGGGCGGGGGGTGGGCAGAGAGAGAGAGACGGGAGAACTTGTGAGCCAGGCCCCAAGTCCCCCACCTTGCCTAGCAGAGCCTGCGGGCCCTGGGGCAGAGCTGGGCCACCCGCAAGGGCTCACCTTGGCCTGGTACTCCTTGATGAAGGGGTGGGACCTGTGGGCGTCCTTCAGCTGGGACAGGTAGCGGTTTGTCACCTGTGGGAGGAGGCAAGGTTAGCTAAATATGGGGACCCCACGTTGGCTCTGACCTGGAAAGAATGGGATGAAACAAGGGCCACCCAGCCAGACCCAGGCAAGAGCCCCGACTTCTCCACAGTTTTTCCATCACCGCACACCCAGGAATCATGCTGAAGTAGAGGGAACCCCGGGGGATGAGGCCAGGAGCCTGTACTTGGCACACGACTGAAGGGGTGCACCGGGTTCAGGGGTGTGGGCTGGGGGGGGACCGGGCCCGGGGAGAGGCAGGGTGCCAGATGGAGTGCACGGCAGGTCAGGGGGACGGGGCTGGGAAAGGAGATGGGCTTGTTCTGGGCGCACTGTATGGAGACGCCTCAGAGGCCTGGGGATGGGAAATGGGGCCAAGGTGGAGCCTTGCGCCCAGCCTGGCCCTACCCACCCCCCGGCCCAGCCAGACATACGGGGCTGTGGGTGTCTGTGCGGCTCAGCTTCTTCCAAACCGGGAGTCTGGGGGTGTTTCTGTGCTGAGTTGGGGGCTGTCCTATCTGTCCCATACCACCCCAGCCCTGAGGCTGCCAGGGGGCCCTTCTCTAGGCACTGGGGACAGACCCCCCCATGAAGCCCTGGGGGGGCGGGCCCCTGGCTGCCTGGGCCTGGCACCTAATGGGGCAGGGCCCCGCATCCGCCCCCTGCACCCTCAGACGAGACAGGCTCCCCAGGATGGCTCCCCTGGGCCCTGTTTCTCTGTCCCGTTGCCTGCTCCTGACTGTGAGGTGACACAGGCCAGCTCCCACCCTGGGAGCCCTGAGCCTCAGTGTCCAGAGGACTTGCAGAGCTCCGGGCAGGGTGGGGGTCCTGGGGGAGTGCCTGCACCACCAACTTCCCAGGGTCAGTGGCAGCCGCATCCACTCATGGGGAGCAGGTTTCTGCCCCAACCCCAGGCCAGCCCTGAAGTTTGACCCTGTGGCCTCGAGCTCCCGGTGGAGCCAGGTCCTCACTGGAGACCCCAGCCCACCCCAGGCTGGCACCGTGAGGGCCAGAAAACCCTGCAGCACCTGCTGGGGGCGGGGAGGGGCCTACCTCAGGAGGCTTGCCCAGGTGCTGGGACAGGACGACGAGGTTGATCAGTGTCTCAGGGTGGCCGCTGTCCTGGCAACAGAGGGGACGAGCAGGGTCAGCTTCTCCAGGCCACAGCCCCAACTCAGGGCTGGGGCTACGAGACGCAGGGTGCCCCGTGACTGTATGCTTGGCCAGGTGGCGGCCTCGGAGCCTTCCCTTCTGCCTCCCCACACCAGCTGCTTTCCCCAGGGGCTTGGTGCTTCCTGAACAGGCCAGACTGACACGGAGACTCTGCTTGCTGCAGTTTCCGAGGGGCATATTTATTTATCACAGATCTTAAGGTGACAGAGTCTAGGCCCAGGCAGCCTCAACGTATCACAGCCCAGTGAGCTGGTTCTGCTGCTGCAGCCGTGAGGCCTGAGACTGTGGGGTAGGGCCCGCCCACTCCCCAGGGGACTTGACAGGAAACTGCAGGAAATTACCAGAACCTCCGAGCAGCTGACCTCCCTTCACCCGCCCACACTGGGCACTGAAGCCTGAGGAATGCTGGGAACGGGCTTGGCTGCTGCCTTAGCCCTGATGGGGGGCGAGGCAGGAACATGCTGCATGGGGTGTCACAGGCTCAAGGGGCCGCAAGGACCCTGGCTGCCTGCACGGGGCACAGCTCCACACACACGCCCTTCGGCTTGTCCCCGCCTGGCCAGCAACCTGATGTGATCGCTCGGCCCCTTGCAGCGAGGAAG